CTTTAAAAAAACAACCCAAAACTGGAAAACTGGAAATTCCCAGTTTATGCTAAGATGGAGATCATCCACAACACACAAAGTTGCTTCGGCAGGAACTGGACCACTTTGAAGAACGCGGCCTCCCGTCTTCCAAACTTGTGAACATCTTTGATCCCAAAACTATTTGCGAACATGGGGGGGGGGGAAAGCGCCAGCATGCATGCTGACAAGTGACACACAACACCATTTTGCTTGTCACCCTTCCATTGACACAGCTGTGGTACTGGCAGAACTGCTGAGATCAGCAGAATGGGAGAAGGCAACAGGTTTGGTTTATTCTCATCATCACCTCCCAGACCTGCCGAAGATAAATCCCTGAGATACTGGCAGCGCCACTGGGGCTTGGCTTCCTCCAAGCATGCCTCCAAGATCCACCCTTGACTTCCACCCCATTTTGTTTGTGTGCACACCAACATCTTCACAAGTAGATGTTGCACTCCCCCCCCCCCAATCAGGCCAAAGAAGGTTGCCTGCCTCTGATCTAATTCCTGCCATCCACAAGCCAGATTCAGGTGGGCAGCCATGTTGGTCTGCAGCAATAGAACAAAGTTTGACGCCAGTGGCACCTTTAAGGCCAGCAAAGTTTAATTCTGGGTATAAGCATTTGTGTGCATGACCACAGATATCTGATGAAGTGTGCATGCACACAGACATTTATACCCAGAACTAAACTTTGCTGCTCTTAAAGGTGTCACTGGACTCAAACTTTGTTCCAGTTCATAAGCCCGTTCACTTTTAAACTCAAATGACTTTTCATATTAATAACAAAGGCCTAGCATTTCGATGTTCAAATTCAAAGTTGTATTTTTTTAAAAAAACTATATTTTTGAAACTAAACTTGAAGGGATACATTTTAGTATTGTCAACATTTTACCCAGTCCTGTCTCTAAAACCTCTAACTCAGGATCATTCCCGAAGTGCCTCCACCCCTATGGGCCACCATGTCCAGTAAAGTAGACCAGGAAGTAGATGTGAATATCCACCAAGTCAGCACTACAGTAGCTTACTCTCCTTGTAGTGGAGCAGTTAGGCATGCCAGTGTGTCTCCTTGAAGTAAACCAGTTGCTTATACTCTCTGTTTCTCCTATGAAGGCCAAGCACAGTGCAGATAAGGAAAGGGTTAAGGCAGGTAATCTCTCCCTCATTGAAGAAGTTGAATGTGCCATTGAACTGCAACTGACCCACTGCGACCCCCGTCCACAGGGCATTCCAGGTAAGAGAGGAGCAGAGGGGGTTTGCCATTGCTTTCATCTTCATAGCAACCCTGGTCCTCGTTGGTGGTCTCCCACTCCCGTCCAAGTACTGAGACCACAGTCAACCCTGCTTAGCTTCCAATCTTTGATGAGTGCAGCTAAGCCAAGCTATTTGGGCTGCTGGAAGGTCCCCCTCTTGAAAGACAGAACTAAATGAGGCCAAATGTTAGTGACATGTGATTTTTTTAAAAAATTCTGAGTTCCCTCTATGTAAGAGCTGGGATAAGGCTCTTACTTTTTACACCTGTCTCAATGTCCCTTTAATTTCATGTGAGATCATTATTAAAGCATGCAGCAGTCATACTGTTTTCACACTTGTGTGTGCTCTGTTTTTTCCACTCGTGTATGCCCCCCCCCAAATACACACTGTTTGAGTGTTCCAGGAAAGGGGGGGACGGACGAACTCATTCAGGTGCTGCTGTTGCCAGTTGCCATGTCTATCTGTGCTCCTTCTGCAAGGAAGGAATTTAATTGCCTCCAGAATAGGAACACTTTCTCTTTTCTCTTTGCAATTTGGCAAAGGACGATCATCTGTGGGGAGGAAGACAATTTTTTTGCAAATTTCATCCCAGTGTGTCTGGCCCATAGCTAACATGGGGCCCATGGGGCCCGGCCCCCTAGTGTTTCCTCTGGGCCCCCTCCCTCCTGGGCTGCCCCCAAAGTGCTCCAACTTACCACCTGCACTGTACTTCCATTTAATTAGCTGGCGGGGGGCCCCTCCCAAAGAATTCCCTAGCTACGGGGCTGCAGTGTGTATGTTGTGCACAAAGTTACACCTGGAAATCTGTTTTCCATTGAGAACCATGGAAATGATTGTCAGATTGATCAACTAATACCACTTGCTTTAATTTTAAAGTCAAAGAAACCAAATTAAAATTTTTAAAGGAGAAAAGAGCTGACAGAAAATCTGGTTGTCTTTTTTCCCCACACCCTCTCCAGGGATATAGAGAGAAAAGTGAAGTGTTTTTGGGTTGTTGGTTTTTTTTTGGTTTTTTTAAAATCAGGAACAAAAGAGGGAAATGATAATCTTAACAACTGCATGAAGTTGACAATTCTGGCATACCTTTGAACCCTGGAATTCACCATATATACAAAGTCAATTGTGGCTCAGTTTTCAGATAAAATGTATATACTGGCAGGCATTGAGTTGCAAGAATCTTCCCAGCTGTTAGGCGTGGAAATGGGTATGTGTAGCAAGAAGGGAAAGACAGACCTGTAATTAGCACCCCTGGAGGCTGACAGGTCCCCTCGTCACTCCAGCAGGGGGATTTGGGAGGAGTTCCAGGGTGGGCGGGGATGGCCCAGGCCCCACCCCAAGTCTCATCCCAAGAGCAACCACCCGCCTGGCCACCCCTCTCCCTCCCCTCCCACCAGATTTAAAGGCCTTCAGCTGCTTGGCAGGTGTTAAATAGTGGGTTTAACATGGCAGAGGTGAAGGCAGAGTGATTTCAGCAAGCAGCAGTTTGTTGCCTTTCAACAGGAATGCTTTACATGGGGCAACTGCCGTAACTATATACACCTAAGCCACTCCCAGCCCCCATGCGATTGGTGAGTTCAAATGGCCTCCAGGCTCCAGATTGGCTGGCTGCCCCCAGGGGCCAATCCTCAGGCAGGCTCCAGGATCCTGCCTGCCTTTGCTCTGGGCTTCAAGCTCCAACTAGGTGGCCTGCCCAGACAAGGCCAGTTAAGCCTGAGTGGAAGATTGCACATAACAGTGGGGACCACATGACCCGCTGATCAGCTGGCGGGCCCTTTAAATCTAGCAGGAGGCAGGGGGTAGTCACAGGTGCACACTCGGCTTGCAAAAAGACCTTTGAAAGGGCTTTTTTTGCAAGTGGGGTGGTCGTTCTTAGGGGGGTTGGGGTGGAGTTTCCCTGTTGGCCAGCTGGCTGGGGGCAGATTGGGGCCCCCAAAAGCAGGGGAACCCCCACCGGGACCTGGGGGCTGGCAACCCTAGTAACAAGCCTGTGTGATCTTATTCCTCAAGCAGGCAGGCTATAGAATTCTGCTCTGTGCAGAGACTCAGCTCTGCTCTCAGCTCTGTTTAAAACCATCTAGCTCTGACTTTTACTCAGTCCTGTACAGCCTGATGAAGGGAGTGGACACAATCCTGGAGTAGCCGAGGGGAGAAGGGAAGGGACAGCTGGAGGAGGCAGCAGACAGAAGTAGGGCATCCCCTGCACTGTTGACTGGAGCGTGCCATTCTTTCTTACTCAAAGGGCTCCTCAGGGAAGCTCTGCAATGTTCCTGCAGCCTTTCCCATGTGCCAGCTTCCTCTACCGTGCTGATGTTTCATACTGCTGGCAAACTCTCCCCAATAAACACCAGTAGCTAATTCTGATACAGAAGAACACCAACCAAACACACACACAGAGGCAAAATTTAATATCAAAATCTATTTATTTGGATCTAACAAATCTTATGGTTATGCCTGACTTCACTTCAAAGGGGCCTAAACTTAATATAACATTTCCTTATTAATCCACAATCTAGTTTGTCTATTTTATTTGTAATGTACACTAGTGGGTAGAGAGGAGTCAAATGTCACAAGGGATGCAGAGGAGGCTGTTTCAGCACGCAGAGCAAATGGCTGGGGGAGAATGATGTAAGCAGCTACACTCATCTTTCCGTTCCAAAGGACCAGTCAGAAAGTACCATCTGATGCTTGTGCCTGCTTCAGGGTTTCATGTGTGCAGCAGACAGACATCCCTCACAGGCTTTGCTCTCCCTCAATTCTCCCCTCCCTTGGCAAGACCATGGCAACACCTAGGGTTGCCAGCCCACAGGTCTAGGTGGGGGCTCCCCTGCTTTTGGGGGCTCCAATCTGCCACTGGCCAGCTGGCCGGTGGGGAAGCCCCACCCCCACCCCAAGAGTGACCACCGTGCTTCAGCTGAAGCCCTTTAAATCTCACAAAAGGGAAGGGTGAGGGGTGGCCCCAGGAGGTCACTCTTGGGGGTGGGGCTTGGGGCAGGGCTTGGGGGCATCTCCGCCCACCCCAGAATGTCCCCCAAATCCCCCCTCTGGAGTGAGGAGGGGGCCTGGCATCCCTAGCAACACCAGATGGGGGGGACATGGAGCTCTCTGCCCCCCTCACCCTTGATGGGAATGCTTCAGTTTCCTTCCTCCAGAAGACAGGCCAATCTCTCTGAGAACCAGGTTTCACTTCCTTCCTCTTGTGGTTGGTGTTTTTGGTGTTAATGGCTAAGGCTGGAACTATAGAATCTGGATTTGAAATTATTTGCAATCATTCTGAATAGAACATTATTCAGTGCTTCCAAATATTTCCATATCTAGACTGCAACATCCTTATTGCCCTCTTTCATACAAATCTGCTCACCGGTTAAGATGGTCATCTGAGGCCCTGCAGTGTATGCTCCTACTGATGGAGACAGGGTGGGTGGTCCTGAGAGACACAGCATGTTCTTTTGTACAGGACTCTCACAGAGTCAAGCTTGCAGTCTTTAGACACCAGGCAAAAATATATTTCCCCCCAATTGTTTTGTTAATTCCCTAATTCTACAAATTCTACATTCATTTCATAAATAACATTTCTCTCATTCCTCTCTCATCACATTATCTGTTAGCTTATCTAGAACATCTTCCTTCCTTCCCTAAACATTATGTGATTTCCTTTTAATTTAATACTATGTTATACATTATGGACTCGATACTTTATGCTTACTTAGGGAAGGTTTTGACCAACTGTTTCAGGAAAGCTTTTCAAAGGCCTGGCAGAGATTTTTCAGTTCATCTTTCAAGTAATAGACAATCTCCTTTACTTTTTGTGGTGAATCAAGAACTTCTATGCTGGAAGTGAAGGGATCATAATGAAGAGAGAAAGGTTTCTTGATCTGAAGAGCATATTTTCTGTTGAAGAAAAAAATAAAAGACATGGTGCAATTTTTTTTTAGACTGTTAAGCAATCAATAAGCCTTGAAGAGAAACAATTCATCCCCACAATGTTATGATAACATTTAACATCTTTTTCAGAAGCACACTGTTGCACGATAGAGCTGGCCTTACAATTTACCCAGTGATGACCAAAGGGATGATTCGGGAAAGGCATGAACTGGCTCACGAACTGAAGTTCGTAATAAATCTTGACCAGTCATTTCCCCAGAAAGTACTTTCTTGGGGTCACCTTCTTTGGGGGCTGTAACTCAGACCTCATACATCCAATCCTCACCAAACTTGGAGGGCAGGTAGAGAAGAGTCAGCCAGAGTTTGGTGTCTCTAGCATGCCGGGGGGGGGGGGCCATTCTACCACCTCCTGAAGTGAACTGGCTCATAAGGCAGCTAAACATTTGTGACAGTCTGTGGTTTGTGAAAGGGGCACGTCACAAACCACGAACTGTACCGCATTTTCCCAGTTCGTGCCCATCCCTAGGGATGATCCTTCTCAGGGTGGGAGCATCTGCTAATGGAAGCTCCACGTAGGGCTTGGAGAACCTTCCTCCCTCATCCCTAGAGGTCTGTGTCTGCCTTCCTTGTCCCCATCTGGCCATTTGCAACATAGTCCAACAGTGAAGTTCTACTGGCCATACCGCCATTGTTTGGTGATACAGTTAACGGTGCAGTTCTAAGCAGTTGGCTTCAGTGGACTTAAAAGGATACAACACTGCTTAGGGATTGCACTGTACATCTCTCGGCATAGATTTTCACTTTTGCACTCACTGTAGCTTAGACTTCGCCTCTTCGAAATGTTCTGCTACGAAGTACACAGGCTGGATAGTCTGGTCCTGGTAAGGCTGGACTGCCATCACGTCTGGATCAAAAGGTTTGTATTCTGGCTCCTTTGATAAAGCATACTAGTAAAGAACAACAAGAGTGACCTAATTTATGGATACCAGCAGCACACAGCCATTGACTTGCAGTGAGATTTGTATTACAGTTAAGTTGGTAGGATCCACAGTCAGAAGGCAGCAGAGCTCTGTCCATGCAGTCACCAATGAGGCTTTAGAGGGACCACACAATGGTTAAACTGAGTAGTGATGGGAGGCTTGACCACCCCCCCCCCAAAGATGGGCATTTCCCCCACCTTCAGTGGTGTAGTGTATTCAAAGTTGCCTTGAATGCATGATATGATGTGAAACATCTAATTGAAGTGTAATGTAAAGCTTCATCCTGGGCTAGGATCCAAATCCATCCAATCGTGTTACTAGCCCAGGAAGCACCTAACCAATAACCTTCTAGCAAACTCCCTGAGTGGGAACATCCGTGATTGGTCCTTATGTGAACAACCTTGTTGGTTGGTATTTGTACAGTGGGTGTGGCTACATTAGCCGGGAATGTTTAAAAGCAGGACAGCTGCAATGTAAGGGCTGTTCTGGCTATCAGATGTTGATCCGTGTTGGAGTTGTGTTCGAGTTGAAGAATAAAGTTGTGTTCTTGCTGAATCACTCTCCGACTGCTTTGTTAAGTGAGCGACTTAATAAGTGGCATGACTTGATAACCAGAATTATTTCAGCTGTGGCCAAGGTCAGCTTTTGTTGCCTTCCCCATATTTCCCCCCAACATTGTATTGCTAACCCTGTCATTCCTCCCAAAGATGTTATAACAACTACAGGAGGAGGAAAAACTATAGGATGACTCTTTCTGCTTCGATGCATTAAAAAGAGAGAGAGAGAGAAACAGAAAGCAACGTAAAATGTAAGTAAATCGAACTCTGGCTTCTTGGTTAGCCATGTATAGAATATAAGATATCCCTCTGGAGAATACTTTTGAAATCTAGACCAGATGTATTAGAAATATGTAGCAATATAATGTTTCGAGCGGGTTGAAAAGTTGGAGGGCCTCAGATGCAGTTTTCAAGCAGAACCCTTCGTTCTTTTCTGTGGGAAAAGATGCTCAGAAATGGTCAGATGACCTGATTTAGCCCAGCACAGCTCAGGGAACCCTTGTTTTTCTGCAAAGGAAGCTTGCAACCCAGTGGCGTCTGCCAACAGCAAAGTATGGGCTTTACATTTTACGGTACTCAGGCTAGACTCCAGCCTGGGTGTTAACATAAAATTCATTTTACATAATGTAGAACAGCTGACATTACAGTAAAATTTACAGCACAGTGCTAAGTGCCTTGGGTAAATTCCTATAGCTCAGAAAACATGGGGTTGGCCAACAGGCAAACTGTCATTAGGGATTCAGGCTTGGTCATATAGACTTTGTCTCCTGCTTGTAAGATAGTTTCTAGGCCTGATGCTTGTTGAAAGGACGGAAATCTTCCCTTAAGATGCAAAGACAAAAACAAACAAAACTTGAACAAAATGCTGCATACTCCGTATCAATATATATACCTTTAAAGCCAAACCCACAACTGTCGGTGGCTCAATTTGGGTTCCCTTTTGAGAGAAACAGAGTGGTGGAGAGAACTGTGGGTTGGGCTTGGGTCGGTCACCAAGGATACCAGGATTCCATTCCCCTTTCAGTTCTGAACCTCACTGGGCACTTTGGGGCTGTTATTCCCTTATTAGCCTAACCTATCTGGCAAGATTTTTTGGATGAAAGGGGGGGACAACCCTCCATCGATACCACATTAAGCTCCTTGGAGGATAGACAATACAAATGTGATGATGATAATGGATAAATAATGACTGCCCCAAATTTTCAGATCTAAGAGCTGGACTGATTTTCACATTATTTAATCAGGACTTTCTCTCTTCAGAAGCGAAATCATCCTGGTTACTCAGAGATAAAGATAAAGTACTCTGTCTGTGGTGAAATTTCTGGCAGCTGTTGTTAAGGTACATGATAATTTTCATCGTAGTAACTTCTAGGCTTTGCTTTTGTGGGATGAGGGTTTGCTGTTAAGTGAGTGAATGGATAAATAAAATGTGGCCACTGGCACAGGCATTTACTGTGGACTGACCCTGTGCTTGGATTAGCCTGCATGCTATCTTGTTTGGTGGGTCTTACTGATTGGAAACCTTGTCTTCGACTTTGAAGCGTGGAACTTTCAAGACTTCAGTCTGCCGTTGGGTAATATCTGAAATCTTGAACCATTACTTTATGGCCCAGGCCCGGTGTTGGCCTGATTCTAATTAGCAAGTCAGGTGTAGGGCAAATGATGTAACCTAAGCACCAGACGTGTTGCTAAGGAGGTGCTCTAACTAATCAGAGGGGCTTGTCAATCAACCAGACACTCTACAGCTGCACTGGGTTCACTGAGCAAGCACCTTTCTCCCACCTATGATCTCATGTGCTCATGTGCTGACAAGATGGAATGCACCCTTCCCTATCTCATGTCCTTGGAGTTACCAGGCCTAATGGAATGACCTGCAGCTGGGTTACCTCCCTTCTCTCTTATCTATGTCTCCAAAGCTCCTAAACAGTTTTCTTTGTTTCAGAGGAAGAAATCTTTCTTTTGCAAGGCCTCTTTATCAAGACATTTTACTAGGCCAAATGCCTGAACCAATGTTAAAACTTGAACAAGAAACTGTGTAGGAAAACCAGTTTTTTACAGGGTGGAGTGAGCTTCTGCCAGCCGTCTGGGAGCTGGAAGTGTGAGGGGCGTATAGGGTTGCCAAGTGCAACTTACCTTAGAGCAGGGGAGTCCTGCTCCTGGAGTTTTTTGGTGCGTGCACAAAGCGCGCCTGGCGTGATGACTAGGAATCCCAAGTCCCCACGGGAGGTGGGGAAAACCCCGCCCCAGAGGCCCGTTCCCCGGCGCCGCCGGATCGGACCCCGGGGGGAACTCCACCCCGACGTCCAGGTCACCCGGAAGTGATGCAGGCACGCCGGGCACGCTGGGGGCGGGGCCACGGCCATACAAGGGAAAACTCTATGGTTTTCCCTTGTATGGCCGTGGCCCTGCCCCCAGCGTGCCTGGTGTCCTCCCGTCACTTCCGGGTGACGTGTGTGCAGCGTGCGGCGCGCACAAGACGCCAGCCGGGAGCCCCCCGCTCCCGGCGAAGATAGACTTGGCAACCCTAGTGATGACACCACCCGGAAGCAACGTCATTGTGTCAGTCACATTGGGGGCGGGACCACTATGAATCGAGGGAAAACCATAGAGTTTTCCCTCGAATCATAGAGCGTCCCCCTGCAACGTGCCCAGCGTGATGATGTCACCTCCGGATAACATAATCACGCCGGGCATGTCTGCACATTCCCCGCACTTGGGGGTGGGTGGGTTTCCCCCCGGCAGCCTCGATCTGGGCTGGCGGGAAACGGGACCATCGAGTGGGGGTTTCCCCACCCCCCAGGGGGACTTGGCAAGCCTAGGAGTGTAGCATTACCAGATCCAGGTTGGAAAACTCCTGGAGATTTGGAAATGGTGCCTGGGAGGACAGGGACCTCAGTGGGGTACAATGCCACAGAGTCCACCCTCCAAAGCATCCATTTTCTCCAGGAGAACTGATATCTGTAGTCTGGAAATGAACTGTAATTCTGGAGGATCCTCAGGACCTGGAAGCTGGCATCTCTAAGCAGCCTATAGAAGTTAGTGGAAACTGACAGTAGCCTAAGATAATTGAAAAACAATAACCAGCACAGTGAATTTAAGCAAAACAAAACAAAATCATGATCAAAGCACATTCAAAAGGTCAATGTATCAAGGAAGAGTGCAATACTGAATAAAGTATTAAAATAGCTACTTTAACATTTCAATATTAAAAATATTAAATATTTTTTTAAAATTTGAGAAAAGTTGTGGAGAGAAGGCAGATGTTAAAAATCTTGTGTGCCTCTAGATATGGTACCAGGTGGATGGCTGAGGGGAGGGACCCTACCCAAAGTTGTGGCCAGCTGGCTGACTTCAGAAGGGGGAGGCGTTCTGAGCACGGTCCTCAAAGATGATGATCTTAGTCAGGGAGCAGGCTCATCATAGCCGAAGGGGCCTGTGAGCGGCACAGGGGGCACAGCACCCCACAATGACCAGCAGCCGTATGTACCCCAGGATTCAATCCAAGGGATTTCCTTCTCTGTCCAAACTGGCTGTGTAAGTAGTACCCGAGGAGAGATTGTTTCTGATCCAAACAAACATTCAGAGCACGGTGACTGTGACCAGGCTGAACGTGAGCAATAATCTGCAGGGTTTTCAATATCCTTAGCTATTATTTAATTACAGCTTGATGACTTGGTGTCTTTCACTCTTAAGCAGAAATATCATTCGAAACTGCATGCATAGGAGGCTCCACCCTGCCCTCTAGTGAGCATAGTGGGTAAATTTATTTAATACAAAATGCTTAGGATATCCACGTTCCCTAGGCAGCAGCTGTTCCAAATGATCAGACATCAGGGCAGTGTTCCCTCTAAGCTGAGTTAGTGTGAGCTAGCTCACAGTTTTTTAGCCTCTGGCTCACAGATTTTTGTCTTAGCTCAGGAAGGAGGGCTTCAGAGCAAACTAATTCATGCAGCAGCCAAATGGCTCGCTCACAGTTTTAATGCCAGGAGCTCACCAAGTAGAATTTTTGCTCACAGGATTCCACAGCTTAGAGGGAGCCTTGCATCAGGGACTGATAAATGCTCTTTACTTACCACCAGCTCACCATAAGAGGAAAGGAGACCTGCTCCATAGGCTCTGATAGATCCATTTTGTTTGCAGAGACCAAATTCAACAGTAAACCAGTAGAGCTGAGAAACACATAAGGACATAAAAAGAGGCCTCATTCAGATCTCATTCAGCATCCAGTTTCCTGTCATGACCAACCAGATGCCACAAGGAAGTCCACAAGCAGGGCAATAAAAGCAGACCTTCCCTATTCTTTCCCACCAGCAACTGGCATTCGGGGGGGGGGGTCCTGCTCTGAAAATGGAGGTTCCATTCAGCCTTGACCATGGTTGGCCTATCCTCCATAAATTTGACTAAACCTCTAAAAGCAATTTGAAGGCTGGTTCACGCATTATACGTTTTTCTAAAGACATCAGGGGTTGTTTCATAGAAAAAGAGCTAGGGGAACTCATTAGCATAACTCATTAGCATATGCCACATCCCCTGACATCATAAGCCCCGGCAGTGGATCTGCAAGGCCGTTGGGAGTGGGAGGAAGCCCTGCCAAGGCCCTCCCTGACCCCAGGCAGGCAGGGGTGGGGAGAGGCAGGGAGGAAGCAACTTACCCTCCCTCTTCTCCTGCCTCCTCCTGGTTGAATGAGGGCCGGAAGCAGGGCGGCCGGAAGCAGGGGGTGGGGCTTCGTCGTGTGCCCCGCCTCCCGCACCTCACCCGGGGAAACTGCGATCCCCCCCGAATCGACCTCTGAAAGACATGTTCTGGGAGTTCCCAGCTGGGAATTTAATTCCCAGGCACCTGTGATCCCAGTCTGGATTGGGACCATGGCACACGAGGAGAAAACGCTTCAGTTCCACTCCCCCCCCCCACAATGTTTCCCTGACATGAAGTGCCCCTAAAGAGCCACTAGTTTCCTGTTTGGGAAACTTACTAATGCCTACATGTAAGTTTTCCCAGTGGGGCAAATGGAGGCTTCCAGGGCCCATCTCAGGTCCAGAAAATGGCGTGTTGGTGATGGTGAGAAGGTGAAGTCCCTTTCTTCTTGAACACCACAGTCTCAATTTAAATTGGGCTCCACTGCACCTGGGAACTGAAGTACCAGTAGAGAACTCCCGGTGCACATCTGACCCAAGGTCCTTGTGGTGTCCACATGTCCACCTTGCCTACTTTATAGCATATGCATTGGCCCTTATAAGTCAGTGGCCATCACATCTTGTGATAAAAAGGGTTGTGTCCTGTGTGGTGACGTTTGTCTGTTCTACTGATCAGTTTTGTTGGATTGCCTTTACTTCTTCCCCCCCCCCCAGTATTGAAAGAAAGAAGAATGATTAGATCATGATCATGAATTCTTCTTCAGGACCCCCCCCCCCAATCCTCCAGTGTTCACTAGCACTTTGTTATCTTGGTGTGTAGTCACATGCCTGGAAAAAGTACATTGGGAAACATGAACGTGTGTTGGGCAAGTGTAATAAGCCAGTGTGGTGTAGAGGTTAGAGGGTTGGACTAGAATTATGGAGACCCAGGTTCAAATCCCCACTCTGCCATGGAAGCTTGCTGGGTGGCCTTGGGCCAGTCACTCTCTCTCACAGCCTAACCTACCTCACAGGGTTGATGTAGGGATCCCAAGTCCCCCTGGGGGGCGGGGAAAACCCCGCCCCAGAGGCCCGTTCCCCGGCACCGCCGGATCGGGCCCCGGGGGGAACTCCACCCCGATGTGCGCGTCACCCAGAAGTGACACGGGCACGCCGGGCACGCTGGGGGCAGGGCCATGGCCATACAAGGGAAAACTCTATGGTTTTCCCTTGTATGGCCGTGACCTCGCCCCCATCGTGCCTGGTGTCCTCCCATCACTTCCGGGTGACGTGGGCACGCGCGCATAAGACGCCAGCCAGGAGCCCCCCGCTCCCAGCGAAGATAGACTTGGCAACCCTAGGTTGATGTGAGGATAAAAAACAGTGGAGAGGAAAACAACATAAGCCATTTTGGGGCATTATTGTGTAGAAAGGCAGGGCATAAATGAAGTAATAAATAAATAAATAAATTCCAACATTGGGCAGTGCAGAATTTATGATCTGACGATAGCTTGTGTCTTCAACTGAAAAATGCCTCATTATTTTAATGTTAAAAAATATAAATTTTATGGATACTGAGGTGGAACTGGGTATTACTAAAAAATATTGGTGGGATGCTTCAACTTTTCTCCTAACTGGGAAGTCCTGCTGCGGAGGAAAAGAAGAGCAAGCAACAGCCACCTGGTTTATCTGCAGCCAAATTAAAACTCACTTCCCACAAGCCAATGATCCAGCAACGTGACTGACTTTAAGCAATCCTTTGAAAAAACTGACCTATCATCAGAGTGGTCTTTCGTGGCAAGATCTGCAGGTAACTCGATCTGATCTATCATAAGTTTTATTGCATTCGTTCACAGCCTTAGCAATTAACACTAATGCAGGTAATTATTCTGATTGGTAAATGTCTCTGTCAGTCATATGATTACTCAAGTACCCTCTCCCTCTGATCTTCTTCGGTATCCTAGGCAACCAGATGCCTGAATAATGGCCATATATGTGGATATTAATGCTATTAGTTTTTCAGTTTTCATTAGTTATGTCAGCTGCAGTAACAAATGGGGCATGTTTTATTTGGATTATCTGACTGGTTGTTGTGCGTCTGGGATGGAATGTTAGGAGGTGGCTTTTAAGTGATTTAGAGATTTATTTATTTGTTTGTTTATTTTACTTTGGGGGAAATGGTGCTTGGATTTTCTAAAATACAAATTTGGTCATTTGGAAATCCCTGAGCAATTTGTGGAGGAGCCCCTTAGATTGCTTCAAAAATCTTGCCTTCTGAGCACTTTTGATGCCATCCTAAGTAGAGTTACCTCCTTCTAAGTCGACAGGGGTAACTCTGCTTAAATCTGCAGTTTTTGGTGTTGTGGCTTCACTATGTTAACGTGATGTATACTTACAGTTGACAGCTTTTCTATATCTTCCTCAGATGCTCCAAGAGAAGCCAGTCCAATATCCTAAAGCAAGCAAGCAGGTGATACCGGGAGGTTGAGCGGGTATAAGAAAGTCATGTGAACAAGATAAAAGTCCTGCAGGATCCAGCTAAGGATCCGTCTAATCCAGCATCCTGTTTCCAACACCAGCTAAGCAGATGCCTTCAGGAGCCCAAAGCTGTCCCCTGTTGTTTAACCCCAGCACTTGATATTCAGAGGTATACTGCCTCTGAGCATGGAGGGTCGAATTAGCTATTGTGGATAATCACCCTGGAGTATCTTCAGTGAATTTGTCTGCACAAACATATAGTCCTGGCATGTGAATGAATTCTGTTGGTGAGGTCCTTACCTTAGGGATAAAAATCTACATAGTCTTGTTTACCTATAATCCTCCCCCGCCCTGGACCCCAGTTTCATTTATTGTATCATGTACTTCAGGGACTTATGAATTGTCTCCTATCACCATCTCGCTCTGGTAGGTTTTATTAATTTCATTATGCTTTTAATTGTTTAAATTATTGTATATTAATTGTTTATAATTATTGTTGTAATCCGCCCTGAGCCCTGGTGTGCAGGGGAGGGTGGACTCGAAATCCAATAAAATAAATACATTAACAATGTAAAATACAAAATGCTAATTGTTATCTGGATTCCTGTTTAGCAAAGAAAATAAATGTATGGAAGTGAAACATCTTATTCACAGAGGTCCATCAGTGGCTATTAGCCACAAGGTATAGATAGGGGCTCTGGGGCAAGTGATGCTCTGTCTTCTTGGTGCTTGAAGGGGTCAACAGTGGGAGGGCTTCTAATGTCCTGGCCCCACTGGTGGACCTCCTGATGGCACTGGTATTTCTGGCCACTGTGTGACACAGAGTGTTGGACTGGATGGGCCTTTGGCCTGATCCAACATTGGCATCTCTTATGTTCTTATGTTCTTATTTCTAAAATGAAATACTGTAGGCTTTACTGGTCCACACCCACATGATTTGAACAACAATTGGCAGAACTGAGGACTAGATTGTCCATACTTAAAGCAGTTCACCTCAGCAATTCTCATCCTAATACAGAATAATACTTGCCCTGTTTTCAACCTATGGCCAAATCTACCTGTGGCAGCCTATACAGCCTCTGAGAACGGGGGAGAAGGAAGGTCTTCTGCAGTTATCAGCAGCTGCATCTTCATGCATACTGGTGGTTCTCAGAGGTGCAGTCCACTGGAGGACTCTGGGAAGGTGTGGCATGGCTATGTACACACCACCCAGACTGCCCCCCCCCCCCAGTTTCAGTAGCTAGCAAAAACATAGCTACTGTGCATAAGAAGCAACAATGTAAAAAACAGAAGCAACTGGGAACAAATGGGGAATACTTGTAATTAATCACAGAGTTGCTATTTAATATATAGTATAACTTTAGCATTTGTAAGAACACATACAATTAAAAGCTATGTAAGGCTTTAAAGCCCTGATTTGTATGTATACTAATACACGTGCACCAATAAGAATCAACTAAACGTTTGGAGAAAAGGTTGTCGCCAAAGGACACCATCAGTACGACTAACTCTTCCCATTTACTTACTGGAGATACTGCAGATTCTAGGGCTGGGCAAAGTCACCCAAAGGAAATCTGCAGAAAAAGTTCACTGGGATTTCTAAGAACATAGGAAGAGCCCTATTGAATCAGACTGATGCTCCCTCAAATCCAAAATCTTGTTTCACACCGAGGTCAAAACAGGAACCCAGGGTAGCCGATAAATGGGGCATAGAAGCTGAGGCCTTCCCCTGAAGGACTTATCCTTCACGAACCTGTCTAACCACCCTTTGGTGATTAGTGGTTGGTTTGTGGCCATCACTATGTCCACTGACAATATATTCCATATTTTAATCACCCGTTGAGTAAAGAAATTATTTGTCTGTCCTGAACCTGTTGTCCATCAAGTTCATTGGGTGTCCCTGAGTTCTAGCATTATGGAAGAAAAAGCTCTCTCTATCTCTTTTTACCACCCCATGCATAATTTTATAAATTTCTTTCATGCCTCCCTTCAGTCATTTTTTTTCTAAACTGAAAAGTTTCTCATAAGAAAGGTTCCCCAACCCCTTACTCATCTTGGTTACCCTCTTCTGTACTTTTTCCAGCTCTTCATTATTCTTTTTGAGACATGGTGACCAGAATGGCACATCGTATTAAAAAATGGGGCTGTGCCATATTCCTTTATAAAGGCTCTACAATATTGACCTTTATTTTCAACCCCTTTCCTAACAATCCCCAGCATGGAGTTTGCCTTTCATACTGCTACTGCACACGGAGTTAACATTTTCATTGAGCTTCCCACTACAACCCCAGGATCTTTTTAGGTCTTGGTCTCAGACAGTCCAGACCTGATCAGGATATACTTACCATTAGCTTATTTTGTCCCAGCATGCATCACCTTACACGTATGTGCCCTGAACTTGACATTGTTACCCCCTCATTCAGATAGGTCCTCCTTGTAGGTCTTCACAATTTGCCTCATTTTTTTACCATCACAAATCATTTGGTAGCATCTACCAACCTGGTCATCTCACTGTTCTCCCCCAATTCCAAATCATTCACAAACCAATTAAAATGGTGCCAGTTTTAAATAGTGCCAGTAAGGCCATGTTTGTTTGGAAATCCCAGGAATCTGCTAGTATCTTTTCAGTCCCCCAGGGCAGAGATGCTGGCATGTGAGCATGCAGTAACTTCCTGTGAAGTACAAATAGTTAAGAGTTAACACAAGGATAGGGACATTACCTGTGAGAACTGTGCAAATTCCTTGTCCGCTAACATGGGAACATGGCCCAGGAGTTCATGACAGCAATCACTGTGAAAACAAATAATGTTTTAAAACATCATGAATTGTGTTTCTTTTACCTGGAAAACGGTGATTGCCCTATTGTTTCCTGGAGAATGTGGACATACGTTTAAATTCAGCAGAAGACAAAGCAACCATGAAGTCTCCCACCTGGCCCTCTCCAGATCCTGTTTTCTTCTGCCTGTTGTTACACCCTGCACATTATAGCTGGTACTCATTATCTGCCCATTGTGGCAAGTGGTGAATGGTGGTGGATGACAGCACCAGAAAAATAATCAGCTTGAAGAGGCCCTCCAGTTTTCTTGCCTCCTGCAACCTGACAACCACACCAAACAATAGCAGCTTGTTCATTCGTTCGTTCATTCATCATAGGGGAGCGGTGGCACAGGGGATTTATCCTCTGGTTAAACATCTGAGCTGAACAGGACTGCTGTCAGTTCGAGCCCCGCACTGGTGTGAGCTACCAGCCGTGTCCCCAGCTTGCCATCCACCCAGCGGTTCGAAAGCTTCAGCGAGTAGATAAAATGGGTACCACTCCTTAGAGAGGGTGGGTACACTTAACCCCCCCCCCGGTGGGGGAGGTGTTAGCTGACATACGGAAGGTCCGCGCGTAAGCTCAAAAGCCGAGAGAGATCTACGCAGCATCAAAGAAAAGCCTGCAATGGGCCATTCCGGCCAGACGGTGGCAGTGGTGCGCTGCGACCGAGAAAAATGCTGACGACATCAAGCGATGCCGACTAAAGAATGCTGCCGGAACATGTCTGATGCTTACAGCTGACCAAACCCCCTGTCGACTGCGAAGTGTGTGTGATTAAAAATGATATATATGTTGTCCTCCCTTACCCCCATCATCGTTAGTCCTGTGTCAACACATGAGTAACTGTAAATCGCTCAGAGCCGGCAGCTCTGCAAGGATTGAGCGATCAATAAATTGAAAGATTATTTTTTATTTTTTATTATTCTTATGTTGGCTAGATGATTGCATTGAAGAGATACAGCCCTAACTGGAAACAAATGCAGAGCCTATAGTCACATCTCAGAATGTTCAAAGTCAGCACTGCCTACTGGAGCTAGAAGGGAAATAAAAGCATCTCATATACTTAATGTGCTCAATGGTGATCCATGGATCCAAGTTTAAGGGTCATAAATCACCCACATGCTGCCTAACTACTGCTTTCCGTCACAATGAAATGTCAACAAAGGCCATTAAAATCAATAGATTATTTTGTTAATATGCTGTTGTTGGATTTTGATGTAAGACTAGCAGAATTTAATAGACAGAATATAGACTGAGAAATGATAGATCATAGACATCCTTGTCTTCTCATGTCTGAGAAAGGGAGCATTGACGCTTGAAACTCTTGTTGGTCTCTAAGATGCCCCTGGACTTGGAACTAACTGTTCTACTTTTCAGACCAACAGGGCTACCTTCTGAAACAGACATTCTTGTGTGGCCAGAGAAAGGCATTTTGTGAACCCGTCAAAAAAGTACTGACAGTGGCAGCTAAAAATAAGTCAATGCTAAATCTAGGAATACTCTTGAAGACTTCCTAGAACCTTTTTCTGTTGGCATATAGACCCCACTGGCCACTTCCTGAAAAGCAAACTCTAGTTGAGAGCCCACCTCCTCTCAACCTCCAGTTACCACCAGCGAGGCCTGAGGCGGAAGACATCACAGCCATTTCAACCATGCCTTGACTGAGACCCTATTGATACCCCCCTGAACACCTTTTCATTGTATTATAGGTTACATTTTGCATTACTGTATGCTCATGATTGTGTACTTGTATTTCTGTATGCTGTTCAGCAATGGATAGCCCAAGCTAGCCTGATCTCATTATACCTAGTTGGATCTCAGAAGCTAAGTGGGGTTCGCCCTGGTTAGTATTTGGATGGGAGACCACTAAGGAATACCAAGGTCATTACGCAGTGAATGTATGAATGTCTCTTGCCTTGAAAACCCTACAAGGACGCCATAAGTTGGCTACTCACGGTTCTGGGGAATGCATCGGGGAAGATGAATGCCGTATATACTGTGTGCTCTGAAAGACTCGAAATGCCAGGCCAGCAAGGAAATCTCGAGCAGAGAGAAGCCCCGCAGCTGGTCTCAGCTGAAAGCCTGTTCTTTCTGGAAGAAACATAAATAGAGCTGTAAAATCTGGGAACAGAATGGGTGTGGCCCTTAAACTATTTCTAGGAATCACCCTGACATTGTCCTTGTCTGTGCAGGAATATAAGAAGCATAAAGATAAATGTAAAGGTTTCCCTTGCTCGAAAGCCAGTCGAATCCGACTCTGGGGGTGGTGCTCATCTCCATTTCCAAGCTGAAGAGCCAGCGTTGTCTGAAGAATTCTCCATGATCATGTGGCCGGCATGACTAAACGCCAAGATGCACCTTCCCACCTTCCCACCGAAGTGGTACTTATTTACCCACAGCCAAAAGAGTAATCAAGGCTGCGGTCACATGGAGCATTAGCCACGCTACAGAGACAGAAGATAGGCGGATTTTCCGGGTGCGCTCACAGCGCCACATCTGGGAAGCGTAGAGCTCCCGTGGCGAACCCGAGGCTTCCTGCCGAAGATGCGGGGTAAAAAACTAGTACCTCCGAGGTACTAGTTTCCGGAAACCGCAGGGCAAGGGCGGGCGCCTGATCGTGTTTCCGGTGGTAGGTTGTGGCATCCAGCGCCCACCGCTAAAAGGTTTTTTCCCCAAGTCTCCACGGGATGCGTACAAGCACCCAACGGTCCCATCGCTAAAAGGTTTTTCCCCCAAGTCTCCACGGGATGCGTACAAGCACCCAATGGTGCATGCGCACACTTCATTTAAAAACAAACAACACAGCCCCCTCCTCTTTTCTGTACCCCCCCCACTCCTGGCTTGGCCTGCTCGAGAGGAACTCTCTGCACCGGGCGGCAGGGGGGGCGTGGCGGGAGGGCGGCCCGGCTGAAGCTCCTTCTGGAGGGGACCGGACGGAGGACACAGTTTGCATTCCTCTGCAGCCCTGGAAGGGGTTAAACCCGCGGAGCCTTTTGCTAGAGAGGCCGCTTCTTTGCCACGCTTCAGGATTGTTCTGTGATCGGCACCTCCCCCCTAACCACGGGACCTCGACGGGACCTCTACGGGATGTCTGATCGCGCAGCCGTGTGTTATTTTGCTCCAGGGCAAACAGCCACGCTCCCCCCCCCCGCATTTTCCTGCCCGTGTGACCGGGGCCCAAGAAGTTCTTTGAGCCCAGGCAAGTCCGATCTCATCAGGTCTAGGAAGCTAAGCAGGGCCGGCCCTGGAAAGTACTTGGATCATGGGACACCTCCAAGGAATACTAGAACCTGGACACAGAGGTATGCAATAGCAAGCCACCTCTCTGAAATGTCCAAGCCCCACTAGGGGTCACCAGAAGTCAACCATGACTTCCAGGTGCACGCACAGACACAGACACACACACAAATACTCCCCCCCCCCAACAGGCAGCGTGCTGGCAATCAGAAACTTGACAAAGACATGCATTCTGCCTTAGGCGGAAGGAAGTTCCCCAGCCTAAGAAGCCATCATCGATCTTAAGTGGCCCTTCCATGGAAGGAAGAAGTTGGAGGAAGGCTCTTTTGGCCTGAGGAAGGCTTCCAACTTTGTTAAGTGGTGTGGTGGGACACATGCCAATCAGGGGCGTGCAAATTCCTTCAGCAGCCTGGTCACCACTTGAGATCTTGCCACTGATTTACTGACAACTACATCGAGATCCTGCCAAAACACTCTTCTTGCCTGGCGCAGGCAGCTAGCACAACTGGGTTTCATGCATGTGCACTTGGCTCTCACAACCCACTGCTGCAGAGGCATACTTCTTTCCTTGGTTATCAAGGGTAGATATATCGTGAATATCTTTGAAAATGAATCCATTTTAGACCCTGATTTTCACTGATGCCATTCATGACTGCTAGTCTAGCTGCCAATTTGTGTGGTTTGGCAGGGATTTTGCACAAGCATAATTTTTGCAAAGGCAATTGGAGTGGTCGTTTTCTATCGTTTCAGTGATTTGGATTCTTACTTTTTAAAGGCACCTGACCTATCAGTTTGTTCCAATTGCCACCACTTGTTTGTTGCTTGCCATGCCAACAGTTTAACTTATATTTAAATGTTTAAGTGTACATATGCAACTGATGATAACTATGCACACGCAAAGCTGGTGAAATGTCCACATGCATAGGTAAGTGTAGCAGTACTGTACAGTGCATGCACAAAAAGAAGGCAGCAGGGACACAGCAGCGAGGCTAGTGAGTAATACAGCTACTGCACAACCGTAAACTGCCTCACAAATAGTTTGAGATGTTTGGCAAGCAAACAGGTAAACAATCAATTTTGTTGCCTTTATGATTCATTCAACAGATGAACTAACTTGCAGCAACAGTCACTGCAACCCTAATGCCTTTACAGATAAAGTGAATAACTTGATTATTAAAGTTATTAAAGTTTCCCAAAGCTCAGTACCCCAGTGTGGTTTCTCTTAAAGATCATTCTTTGATTTGATGGTGGTCTTGATGGCACCTGATTCAATTCTCCTGCCAAAGCAAAGCTTGCTTGACACTTAAGCGGCTTCAGTATAGGCCACCCTGACCACCTTTGAGGATGGGTTTGGGTACAGAGGTAATGTCTGGCACATGAAGCTAGCTTATACCGAGTCAAACCATTTGTTTGTCAAGGTCAGTACAGTCTGATCTCACTGGCTGTGGTTCTCCAGGGTCTCAGGAAGAGGTCCTTTTGCATCACATATCATCTAATCCCAAAATGCTGGGGATTGAACTTGAGACCCCCTGAATGCAAAGCAGATGCTGTGTCCCGGAGTCATCATGGCTGCATTTTTAAGACAATCTTTTGCATTCTTGTCAGCATCTCCCTTAATAGAAACTGATCCCATTCCTCCCCATTTGCCTTTCCTCAGTGAATTCTTGGGGGGGGGGGGTTGAAATTGGTGAGGGAGGCCCCATAGCTCACTGGTAGAATATGTGCCAGGCATGCAGGACGTCCCAGGTTCAGTCTCTGGCACTTCTGGTTGACAAGGATAGAATTCTGCCAATGTTTAGATTTGTATGAAGTTTTTAGAATTACTAGGTTCAACTTAGCAGGTGCTGTTCTTTTTCAGACACACTGTGAATGTGATGCCATGGAAATCTCTCTGACATACATGCACACACCCTCCCCCTGTCAACTGAGGAGGCCTTTTACTTTTAGCAGAGGACTCCTCTGCTGAGTTGTCACAGTCCCTGCCTTCTGTCTAATGCTTAATTGCCCAATTTGTTCCTTTCGTGAAATGATTCTGTAAACTTCTCACTTTAACAGTCCTTTAAATAGCAAGAAACAAAATTGAATAATACATATGGTTTGAAAAAGAGCCCTCTGATTCTTAAGTCTGGACATTCCAAAAGTTTTGTACGGGGGGGGGAGAGTTGCAGACGCATTTGTAAAGAAGTAACTTGTAAAAATTGTACTTGTGATTTATAGCTCTCCAATAAAAACAGAACTGCAATAAAGAATTGGAGGTGAGGCAGGGCTTTTTGGACGACTGCTCCATCACTTCTGGAAGCCCAGAGAGAGTTGAAAGAGAAGTCATGACTAATTGCCCTCAAGGAACCTATAGGAACAAATGTCCATTCCACTCTTGGCCTCCAAACAGAGTTACATACAATTGTTTATACTCTGGCTATAATTATTCCTGCTTTCGACTAGAACTCACTTAGGTATACAAACACACCCATTCCAGAACAACGCTTTCTTTTCCCCAGTTTAATTTTTTGGGGGAAACACACAATGTTTTTGCACTTTTTGCTGCAACTTTTCATGTCAAAACCAGTCAACTTATTTCAGTAACAGCAACAATAAATGTTAAAGAGCACTTTGTTCCAGCCATATCGTAAAAGTATTAAATCTGTATTCTGCTTTTCCTCCCCAATGCTCAGGCTCTCCCACACTCCATTTTATTTTTGCAATAACCGTTTGGGGTAGATTAGGCCGAAAGGCCCATGATCACCTATTGAGGTACATGGCTAACGGGATTCGAACCTGGGTCTCTCCAGTCTTAGTCCAACACTTTAGCTTCTACATCATGTTAGCTTTCAATACAATAAGCTCACCATGCGGATCCTGCTCATTATGCCATCGATTGCCATGCAATAATAATGATGAGAAATTGCTGTAAAGTTCACAAATCACAATGAATAGACAATAATAACTAGTACAGAATTGACGCTTGATGATGTTTATAATTTCTATGTTTTCAAAACACAGGACGTCAAGTCTAGACTTGTTGTCCGAATTTAGAATTTGTTAGCCCTTATGCTGTTAAAACTTGTTAGCCTATGTGCTTTACGGATGCTGGATAAGATTGATATCACAGCTAAACACAATAAGACAACCAGAGAACTGAATTTGGTTGAAAAAGAGTTGTCTCGAAACGAACAACCACTCGAGATGTTCGTATCGCTCACCTTCCGTATTTGACGTCCTGTGTTTTGAAAACATAGAAATTATAAACATCATCAAGCGTCAATTCTGTACTAGTTATTATTGTCTATTCATTGTGATTTGTGAACTTTACAGCAATTTCTCATCATTATTATTGTACTGCTTTGAATTGCTGGTCCCCCTTGTATATATTTGTATCGATTGCCATGCGCCATTAATGACCACCGTTAACACATAGCGCAAAGGTAGGAAGATTCCCTCCCTGATTAAGAGGACTCCCACAGTGACTTCTACAAAACAATATGACCCAGGATGATAAGCCCAGCCCACCAGGAATATACTCATCAAGTGAGTGAATTATCTCCATTATCTCTTAGGAAGTCTCCGGCTCAACTCATTTCTGCCGTGAATTCACTGAGTGGCCCAAGCCTTCTGCCTAGCCACCACAGCTGCTCTAAAAAATAATAACACTGCTCTACCTTACATGGCTGTTGTAATAATTATTGACATTATCTGTCTCCTTACCCCTTCCTGTCATTGTATACTGTTGCTGTTGTCTTATTTGGATGTTGTGGCTTTATTCTGTTATGAGCCATCTTATGAATTTTTAACTGAATGTGAAGGGTATAAGTAGCTCAGTTTTTAAGAAATAATATGTTTGAGACATTTCAAACACTCTAAATGGCTCTGAGGGGTTCAGTCCGAAAGCGCTCTAGAAGTTATAATAATAAATATATTGAAAATAAGTGTTGGACAGTGGCGACAAGACAGAATAATATGCCATTTGGTGAACTGATGTGCATGAAATCTCTGACTCCATTCCTTGCTTCAGTCTTTGGCTACCCAAAGAGATGGTTGGAGACAGCTAACTACACAAAGTTTGCAGGTCCTTAACACACTGGACAGTTTACATTCATTGTTGCAATAAGGCTCTTTACACTTCCTATGCAAGGCAAGGCAGATTCTGGGTGCTTAAAGGGGAGTTGTTTTGTGTAAGACTGCCACCTTTCTTTATGGACAGAGACTCTGTCCAGTAGAGACAGGTCAAGAGAGAAGCCATCTTAAGAGGACAATTCCAGCTAAAACTCTTGCTTTCTGGTGCTCTGACTGCTTGCAGGTGTCAGACAACACCCCCGCCCCCATAGTTACTTGGCAAGGCCCTCTTGAAAGCCTGTTAATTAGTTCACAGAGTTCAGCTGTGAATCTGGTATGGGAGGGGGAACTCACTGTCACCCCAGAAAGTTCTATGGAGACAGCCTTGTGATTGGTTGGGAAGGTCAGGAGGTAATGGCCGGCAATTTATATATTACAAGAAAGGAGACCCGCGAAACTCGCAGGGGGGGGAGCTCCAAACTGAGCTGCCGGAGGAGGAACCAGCAGGAGCAGGTAAGCTTCCCCCCCATCCTGCTGGTTCCTCCCTGTCCTCCATCCCCCCTGCTGGATCTTCCCCCCGCCTCCCCCCCTATGAACCGTCGGTTCCTTCCCCCACCGGCTCCATAGCGAGGCCCGCGCGGCTTGTAGCCGCCAGGCCTCGCTGCTTTCCCCCCCCCAAGCGAGGGCCAGTGCCCTGCAGCCGCCCGGGCCTCGCGGCCGCCCTCCCGCAGGCTTGCAGCCGGCCGGGCCTTGTGCCCTCCCTTCCTCTCATGGGTCTGGCCGGCTGGCTTCGAGGCAGCGACAGCGAGGCCGGCTGCAGAGCGTTCCCTGTGCATGTGCAGGGAACGCTCTGTCAGTTTTAGGGGGATTTAAGTATCCCCCCGGTTTTTTTAACTTTTCAGATTTTTGTGCACACCTGGGGACCACCCCACGTGTCCACAAAACTCCCCCTCCCCCCAGGTGCCCCCGGTGCGCGGATTTAGCTATCCGCACACTAGGGGGCGACTTGACTATTAGATATATAGATAGAATATAGCAGAAAAAGAACATCCCCTTCTTATCCCCTTTCTTCCACCCACCCACCGTTGCTTGAAGATACTCTGTGTAAGCTTGTGAACATCATACATCTGCTGTAACAACCAGCAGTGCTGCCAAAAGCAGACGTAAGTAGCACAGTCAGAGAGTCTGTTATTTTTTGTGCATGATGACTCCACTGAACTATATGCTTTGTTTTTAATAACCTTTCTTGATTTTTTTTTTAAAATAAAGCTTTCTTGCTTCATTTCATGTGACTTACTGGGGAGTGACAGGAACCTACTCCGGCCAGAGTTTGGTTATGTTATTGCACAAAGACAGGGCCAGCCTTGACAAGACAGAAAACAAAAGATGAACAATTTACCAGCATGGAGATGCCATAATGGGAAACACTTCACTTGATTTTATTTTCCTGCCTGTTTGGTAGCTGTAAAAAGCATAAATCCATTTCTGCCTTGAACTTTTAACCTCAGTTTTCCTTTGCTAGGCCACAGTCCTCAGCCCCTAACTAAGTTCTGGCAGACTGGCTCATTCCAGAGCACAGAGATAATAGCTCATCTGTGAAACAGGAAGGAAAGTGCTTAAGCTGGTAGTTCATATGAAGACATCATTGAGTGGCATCTTCCAACCACAACAGACTACACATAGCTAAAACGTCATGGTGTCACAACAGCTTGCCTTTTAAAAATGTAGAGACAGCTTGCAGCTGAGGGATGGAACCTGCTCGGTATCCACAGTATTTTTCAAGCTGGTGAAAGCCATCCAGGTATTGCTTACAAGCATGGGTAGGGTAAAGACTTCTCAGCTTTTGGTAGATCTCTCTCCTGAAAGCAAGAACAGTCGTTAGCGGGCAATTGCCCTCTCTAGGAACAGTATCATTTAAATGACACATCACAGAGATGTCCTTCCTCTTCCCATAACAAGTATTGTTTTCAAAAGGGGGAAAACCAGATTTAGTAGGATTTTGCTAAAACAAAAAAGTGCTATAAATTTGCCTGTAGTCAAGGACAACCATTGTATATGTGGTAAAAGTTTCTGGAGTATTAAAATCTGGAAAAAAGGAAGAGGGAGTTTGAATGAGTTATCTGAAGTGATGGAATAAATGGTAGTAATCTGTGGTTAGGCCTTGACCTGGATAGCCCAGGCTAGCCCGATCTTGTCAGATCTTGGAAGCTAAGCAGGGTCAGTCCTGGTTAGTATTTGGATGGGAGACCACCAAGGAAGTCCAGAGTTGCAACACAGAGGCAAGCAATGACAAACCACTTCTGAACGTCTCTTTCCTTGGAAACCCCACAGGGTCATCATAAGTCAGCTGTGACTTGACAGCAAAAATGTTAACAATGAGGCTATATAAAAATATATAGTATAAAAATCAGGGAAGTAATGAAGCTGGAAATGGGAGTCCATTCTTGAGACCAGCTGACCATGTAGCCATATTTCTTTATGGGTATCTTAATAATGAGGATGGGGCAATGGCAGATTTAGAGCCGTTTCACACATTTTGTGGCAACAAATCTCACTTTGTCACCAAATGTATACTTGATGAGGAACTGCGACCAATCCATACTCTCGTTGATTACTGTGCTCGTAAAATACACATGTTTATCTCCATCACAGATGAGATTTGGCTAACAGACGGCACCAAATTGCACCCAAAACACCATTTGAGGTGAATTTGCAAGTTCCCTCTGAGGTGCAACATACAAGAAATTTTGAAGGAAGCTTACAGCACTCCAGTAAGACTAGGTGAATTCCTCTCGAATTTCTGGCATCCCTGGCCAGGACTGAATGACTTGTCCAAATAACTATTACTAGGAGGTCAAATTATATTTTATAAAGTAACAAATTTTACATTAAAAAATCTGGAAGAAGACTCATAGAACATTAACTAAGACCACACCAGTTATTACAAGTACGCATCAGATACCATATAAATATAGTACTAGTAGTCAGTGCAGAATGACAAAATAATGAATTTTTTCATCCCTGGTGACATCTTTCCCACAACGGGGACAAAAGGTTGCTTCATATGTTATGCAGCAACATGTTTTTCTTGGTATGCTGCATTAAATATGAATGGGAAATGCTTGTATTTCCATGTGCAGTGGAAAGTCATGAGAGATATTTTGCGATTCACAATGGTAAACATCAGTATACATGCAGAAAACAACCCATTTTATAACACAGAGATCAGCCAAAATGATCCTTCATCCAAGAGCATCTTGAACTGAACTAAGTTAAAAGACTGTGAAGCAAGCCAGAACGCTCAGATCTGAGAATAAATGTTCCTAAGGTGGAACTGCAAGGCTCTGGCTATGCACTCTGGAGTGCTGTGTTGATTCACACGGCTGGGGAATGGATCACACAAAAAGCTGAAGAAAAAAAAGACATCTGAATCATGAATAAAAGATTTTCAATCACTTAACAAGTACTAAATTGGGAGGGGTAGCAAATATGGTACAGAGTCAGGATACAGGACGATCTTGACAGGCTGGAAAACTGGGCTAAAACAAATAAAATGAATTTCAGTGGGGTAGATGTAAAGTTCTGCATTTAGGTAGGAAAAATCAAATGCATAATTATAGGATGGGAGAGACTTGGCAGTAGTATGTGCGAAGAAAAACTAGGTGTCTTAGTAGACCATACACTGAACATGAGTCAGAAGTGTGATGCAGTAGCTAAAAAGACAAATTTGATTTTAGGCTGTATCAACAGAAGCATAGTGTCCAGATCACATGAAGTGATGGTATCGCTTTACTCTGCTCTGGTGACCTAGAGTATTATGTTCAGTTTTGGGCACCACAATTTAAGAAGGAGATAGACAAGCTGGAACATGCCCAGAGGCGGGCAACAAAGTTGGTGAGGAGCCTGGAGATCAAGTCCTATGAGGAAAGGTTGAAGGAGCTGGGTATGTTTAGCCTGGAGAGGAAACGACTAAGAGGTGATATGATCTCCATCTTCAAGTACTTGAAGTGCTGTCATATAGAGGGTTGTTAGGAGTTGTTTTCTGTTGCCCCAGAAAGTTGAACCAGAACCAACGGGCTGAAATTAAAACAGAAGAGTTTTCGGCTAAACATTAGGAAGAACTTCCTGAGAGAACTGTTTCTCAGTGGAACTGGCTTCCTTGGGAGGTGGTGGGCTCTCCTTCACTGAGGCTAGATGGCCATCTGTTAGCAATGCTGATTCTGTGAACTTAAGCAGATCATGAGAGGGAGGGCAGGAAGGGTAGCATCAGTGCTTAGTTCTTGTGGCCCTTTCTTACATACCCAGGGAAATGCTGATCACCACTTTGGGGTCAGGAAGCAATTTTTTTCCAGGCCAGGTTGTCTGGGGATACTGCAGGTTTTTTGTCATCTTCTGGGCATGGAACAGGGGTCACTGGGGGTGTGGGGGAGAGGTATTTGTGAATTTCCTGCATTGTGCAGGGGGTTGGACTAGATGACCCTGGAGGTCCCTTCCAACTCTATGATTCTAAGCAAAGTAATATACAGCTTCTTCACAGGATGCCCACCTCATACATAATTTCCATATCACAGAATGAAGAGACTTCAGTGAATACTTTGGTTTGGGCTAACTAATGGGTTTAAGATTATACTTCCACTTGCCATGCTTTTAAGTCCTTAGTATGTTTGATACCAAAGTGAAAAATCTATTGGATGGGATAGTGCACTCAATTCACAATGTAAATATGTTCAATAACATAAGTTTCATTCACTGGAAGTGCCTGGCCCTTAAAAAAACCATTTGAAGCAGTCAGATCCAGACTTCAGAACATATCCTAAATGCCACAAAACACGAATATTGTGCCTATGCACATTTTAGGAGGGATTTGACCTCTGTTTTGCATTTTACAATTATTGTGTTAGAAAGAGACTTTCACTCTCTCTCTTTTTTAAAAAAGGACCCACCTATTCAGCTCTTGGAAAGGAAACATGTAATTATGCAATGGCAGAGAGCCTTATGGAAAGTGACTATGTTTTTGGGTTGGTTTTCTTTTTAACTTCAGCTCTGGGGTTCTAACACATTTGTAAACATTGTTTTATGAAAATTGAGCTCATTCTTGGAAATGCTGAGCAAGGCAAATGACCTTTTCCTGTTTTGGGTATTGTGTTTCTTATTTCTTTTGCTGCCGGAGTGTTGCTAGGAAGGGTGAGAGCCAGCATCCCACAATGGCTCTCTCTGTTTTAGATAAACATCGATGTTTAGCAAGCACGGGCGTCGCTTTCAAGGCTATGGGCTGAGAAACAACTGCATAGGCTTCCAACAGGGGCTGTTGCTAGTAATGTCTACGTTGGACAGGCCAGGGACTCCTTTCACCAAGCAGTCAGGAAAAGGTCAAGAGAACAAGACAGAAGACCCTTGCATGGCTGGGGTAGGAGCATCCTCAGCCGTGGTGCAGAATTCAACAGTGATGTAAAAAGTGCAAAATATTTGGTCCACAGTTCTGCCCCTGTTAAATACTGGGTTCCATGGATGGTCCGACCTCAAGCTTAGTGATCAGCTCTGCTTTATTTGTGATTCAGCCAGAACAATACAAAGACCCAGGGCAACGGCTCTGTTTAAATAGCTTGCAAACACCAGCCACTCCCCAAACAACTATTAACTATAGGCTATTGTCAGACCCATAACTTCCTCATTGGTCACCTCCAGAGTCCTGGTGGGCTATTGTTCTAGTGCTCCAAGCTCAGCCAGTCTCTGGTAAAAACAGTCCTGAAATGTTCCAGTCCCAATACATAACACCCCTCCCCCCTAAGTTCTAAAGCACCTTAACACACACAGTCTTCAAGGTGAGCTGGCTTGCACCTTTCTTGGTGAGAGCGTCTAGGCTCGGACGGTGGTGGTGAAGCCACAGGAGCCGGGTCTGGGGTCGCTGTCGTGGTGCTGGGGGAAGATGATGAATCAGGAACAGAGTCCAGGGGCTCTGGAACAGTCGGTATGGGTGTGGGCGATTCTGCATGGTCAGGCTGGTCCCTGGAGCGCGCTGCGTCCCACTCCAAGCTGTACTCCGGCAGCGGTGGTGGTGGTTCTGGGCGGCTGGCTTCTGTGGCAGCTGGTGCTGGCTTGGCAACCTCCAGTAGGAGACGGTGGCGAAGTTGGTCATTGTGCCTGCATAAGACTTGTCCATCATCCGTGCGTAAGACTTGTCCATCGTATAACATGGGACCGGTGACCCTGATGACCCTCGTGAAAACCCACACAGGACTGTTGGAGTCGTTCCAAGCGTAGACGGGGTCACCTGGGGAAAACCCTCTGGGCCCTTCTTGGACCTCCAAAAACGAGCGGTTCTCTGGTGCTCAGTCTGGGTGCAGCCGGTCTAACCGGGTTGTGAGGCACTGGCCCATAAGGAGCTCCGCTGGGTTGCAGCCAGTGGCAGAGCTCGGAGTTGCCTGGTGACCCAAGAAGAACGTTGCTGACCGGTGTTCCCAGTCACCGTGGATGAGCCACCTGAGGGAGTCCTCGGTGGTGCACACCATCCTTTCCGCTTGTCCATTGGTGGCTGGGTGGAATGGTGAAGACCAGATGTGGTGGATCAGGTAGTGGCCCAAGAACTCCTGAAACTCTCCAGATGTAAAAGCAGGCCCATTGTCTGTCATTTATTTATTTATTTATTTTATTTTATTTATACCCCGCCCTCCCCGCATGCGGGCTCAGGGTGGCTTACAACAATATGGCACATAGTGCAATAAAACACAATAAAACAATTTAAAACAGTTAATACATGGGCCACGCCCAAGGATCCCGCGTGACTAAAACCCTCTCTCCATATTGCACATGCCCTTTCATTCCAAGGGAGGTTACTATGGCCTCCTGATGTTATCTGCCACTTAGCCTCCGGCGGTGCTGCTAAACGGTCCCCATTGGTGGTAGTGGTGGTGGCGGCGGCTCCTATTCGAAAGCCTGGCGGAAGAGCTCCATCTTGCAGGCCCTGCGGAACTGCAACAGGTCCCGCAGGGCCCTGATCTCCTCCGGGAGCTCATTCCACCAGATAGGAGCCGCCACCAAGAAGGACCTGGCCCTTGTGGCCGCAAGCCTGGCCTCTTTCGGGCCCGGGTCGCAAGACGATGTTGCGACCCCGACCAAAGTGCTCTTTGGGACCTATGTGGGGCAAGGCGGTCCCTCAGGTATGCTGGACCCTGGCCATGTAGGGCTTTAAAGGTAAGCACCAGCACTTTGAAGCGAATCCAGTATGCTATAGGCAGCCAGTGCAGTGCTTTGAGCACAGGCTGGATGTGATCCCATTTAGAGACACCAGCAACCAGCCTGGCTGCCGCATTCTGCACTAGCTGCAGCCTCCGAATCAGCGACAAAGGCAGCCCCATGTAGAGAGCGTTGCAGTAGTCTAGCCTTGAGGTGACCATCGCATGACTGTGTTGGGTAGGCTGTGCATGCAGAAAATCTGGGTGAGGGCCCTGATGGCCACCCGGAAGGAGGTGGAGGTGACAGGAATGACCTCCAGCGGTTTGGTGTAGGAATCCATCAATACGAAGAATATCTGGCCCTGAATGGGGCCAGCAAAGTCCAGGTGCATCTGGGACCATGGGGTGCGGGTGGGCTTCCACTGCTGTACGGGAGCTCGCGGGGGCTCTGGTCGGGTCCCCTGGCATGCCTGGAAGTGCTCGAATCAAGCCTCAATCTCTACATCGATCCCTGGCCACCACATGTAGTTGCGGGCAAGAGCTTTCATCTGAATGATCCCTGGTTGTGTCTAGTGTAGGGCCGATAAGACATGCTGGCACAGGGGGGGTGGTAGCATGACTTGGCTTCCCCAAAGCAGGCACCCTTTGTGTGCAGACGGCTCATCCCATCAAGATGAGAATGCTGTAAACTCTGGGCCCATCCGGCTGCTGGGCCATTCCCTCCACACCCAGTCCAATATGCGGGAGAGGATGCAGTCCTTGGTGGAGTGGTGGGTGATGTCCGCAGCATGCATAGGAATTGGAGAGTTCCTTAATGAGGAGGTGTGTGGGAGCTGGATCGGGGTTCGCAGAATGCAGCGGCAGGTGACTGAGGGCGTTGGCGTATCCCATCACCTTCCCTGGGCGGTACTGAAGGTTGTACTGGTAGCCAGTGAGGAAGATCGACCAACGCAAGACCTGCGGCGTCAGTATTTGAGGCATCTAACAGTCTGGAGTGAAGAGGCCCAGCAGTGGCTTGTAGTCTGTTAAGATAGTGAAGAGCTGGCCATACAGGAAGTCATGGAACTTCTTCACCCCCGCCACAATTGCCAAGGACTCCTTGTCTATCTGTGCTTAGTTGCATTCGGCAGATGACAAAGTGTGGGAGTAGTACACCACTGGGACCTCCAGACCGTCAGGCAGCATGTGCCCCAAGACAGCTCCAACTCTGTAAGGGGTTTTGAACTCTAAGTTGGGTGGAAAGGTTGCATGTTTTAAACAAACAGTTCCTCCCTCAGAAGTAGCAATTCACTCTTGTGGCTAGCAAAGGAGGGATGAGGAAGTAACATTGTTTGATGGATAACGGAGTATTGAATTGGGGTGGGGTGGGGGCTGACCTCCGAGAAAGATGGCCTGAAGGGAAGGGCTGAGGTGAAGGTATTCAGTTCTGGACCACACAAACAACAGAAAGAGAATTCTGGTGGTAGGTGGACTGTACCACTTCAAGGAGTAGGGTGGTGGTGCCTTTTTAGTATTCACTTATTTGGGAAAGTCCCTGAAGGTAAACACACACACATACTTCAGGTAGGGCTCTTCTGCATTCTGATTTTCATCACTTGTCTGCTTCTATTGCTTCAGGGTTCCCCCCCCCATGTGTTTTGAACTTTCTAGTAGTCCCAGAGGGAGCAAAACACATGTGGAAAAGGGGGGGGGAGACCCAAAGCAATAGGGACAGACGAGTGACAAAAATGGCAATGCGAAAGTGTCATTCTGATGCATCAGGTCTCACTGTGGAAAGGAAGGTGATCCGGACAGGACATCTGAGGCAGGAGAAGGCAACTGCACAGCTCCTGAAAGCCTTCCTGGCACTGCTGAGCCAAGAAGGGAAGATGGACATCCCAAGACATTGCTTTGTACTTCCCCCCCTTTTAACCTCTCATACAGACAATAACAGTGTTTTCAACACATGACTATCAGCCACACAAACCTCTTAAACCAAGGGATCTCTGTCTTTAACATCCATACCTTGTACATTAGAATCACACAGTGTGCTGAACTGCTATGTTGGCTGGAGAGATGAAGAAATGCCCATGCCTGCCCTATATGATGCCTCTGGGGTGGGGGAGGCTCAATTTGTGCAGCCCACATATTTGGCTGTAACAGAATACAATCCTTAGATAATGTGTTTCACGGGATAGGTTGGTGTTATACTGAATGTGTTCATTGCACACCCAACCCAGCTGATGCACAACTATCACATGCCATTTTCAAAACAGACGTGCATTGTGAGAAGTGTAAGTACTAGATGGGTGCAGCCCTGGAGCTTCCCTGTGTGCTTCGATAGCTGATGAGCAATCATGATGTCATGCAAAACCAACACTCACCACGTAGCAATCATGATGTCATGCAAAACCAACACTCACCACGTAGCAGTTTCTTGGGCAGTGTACTCGACTCTTGGTAAAGGATCACCCCTTTAAAAGAACAGAGAGCATATTGGATTGAAATACATTTAGATGGCACAGGTGACATGCTAAGGAAAGATCTGGGAAGAGTTATTTCGGCTATGGGTGGCCTGGAGGTGAAGCAAGCATTGATTAGACAAGCAGAAGGGCTGACTATGTGAGCTAGCCAGCACTCCCGCTGAGGTACCAGGCCAGAGTCAGATATTTATTTATTTATTTATTTATTAATTACTGGCTTCAACAGGAAACACAGCACAGTATTTATTACTTTTGATTTGTTTCCCGCCTAGCCAGGGCAAACTGGCTCAAGGTACACAATAAAATAGATAAAACAATAAATACATTAAAATTGTCAAAATTCACAAAAGCAGCAATTTACATATATGTTAATAAATACAGATGGCGGTTGTTAGTATACATGGTCTGAAGCAAGAGGGCCATGTACCGACGTTGTGATATAGGGCCGTAACATGTTCAGTTTCTGATGGCTCCAGTGGCAGCTCCTAGTCGAAGGCCTGGAGGAAGAGCTCCATTTTACAGAGAAAACAGCCCTGGAGCAAGTCAAGCAGAGCAGGCCCTGCTGTGCTACAAGCCACCTACAGGGGCCCCTCAACTCAGTGAGGATGAGAATGGGCATTAGCTTGCCCATTGCATTTTCCCCAAAACTAGGGTTCCCAAATCGGGCCAGGGGGCGAGGAATCGGGCCCGGGGGAAACCCCACCCCCGCGTGACGAGACAAAAATCGGGCCCGGGGGAAACCCCACCCCCGCGTGCGTGTCACCCGGAAGTGACAGGAGGTGACGTCCCGCGCGGGGGGCGGGCCACAGCCATTTGAGGGGAAAACATAGAGTTTCCCCCTCAAATGGCCGTGGCCCACCCCCAGCATGTGACATCACTTCCGGGTGATGCGCACGCGGCGCACGCACACACAGGATTCCAGCTGGGACCCCCCGCTCCCGGCCAAAATAAATTTGGCAACCCTACCCCAAACTGGAAACTGTGCAGGAGGAGACAGTTTGATGAGCTGATGCCAGTGGCCATTGCCGAGGAGAGGTCTGGGCTAGTGGGCCACTGAGGCTTGGGCAGAGTGGCTGGGGCTTGGCTCTGTTTGTTCCTGGCTCCTAGTGGCCCTCTAGGGCAGTGGCTCACCAGGAAATTTCCCTGGAAGTTAAATGGGCAGTCCGGCCCTGCTGACGATGGGTGTGGGCTTGCCTGTCATCTCCTGGTCCATTTTAACGTCCTAGTCTGCCTGCAGCACTTACTGTCGGAAGTTAAAGGCCAAGTCAGCAATGAAGGCTCTCCGCTTCCTGTATTCTGGATCAGCAAATCCCTAAAATCAGGGGAAAAAAGAAATAAATATGCAGCCCAATGTCTGGCCACAAAACTCCATCTAAAGTCTTAAGTGACTGTGAAAATGAGATCTGAGTTTTGAAATTCAATATTTGTATTCTAAAAAGAATATGAATTTACATTCTGGGTGATTTTAGTGTTTGAGGTTATGTTTCATTATACCCGTCAGAAAATTTGGCAAGTCAGTGGGATGAAAACTACAATGGCTGAAGAGGTCCAAACAGCCCCAACTAAAAGGCACAATACCCTCCTGACGTGCATAATACACACACACACACCCAGCCAACACAGTCCTTCCTCCAACAAGGTGGTACTCTTTCACAGTTAGTTCTCGGGATACTCTTTCCAAGTGTAGGGTCTCCAGGTGATTCTGCTTCAGTCCCTTCTGTAGGCAGTGGCGCATATACAGTTCCAAAGTGTGATGGCTCTGGCAAGCGATCAGGGGGCATAGCAGGAGGAGGAACAACCCCGGAATGGTCTACGGTTGGTGCCTCTGAGGACTCGGCTATTATCTCTCCACTTGACAATGATCACATCACTTTCTCAACTGATCTACATGCCAATGCCACACTGACCCGTCTGCAGGCTGAACTTTGTAGGCAACAGGCCCAGTGACCTCCATGATGGAACGAGCAGGACCTGTACAAAATAGACAGCCTCCACCTGTCCTGAGAAGGAACCAGGTGGCTGCTGGCGCTTAAAATAAAAAATGTGGCAGATCAGTTTTTAAACTAAATCTTGGGGGAAAGCCAACAGGAGATGGAATGTCTCTGGTTCACGATGGCTTATCTCTAAGAGATGAAGGAGTAGCTGTTACTGTTCTAGAGGGAAATGGATTAGGACTGGCCACTGAGAGGGTAACAAACAATATTGACTGCCTGACAAGGTCTAGAGGCCACAGGAGGAAGGTTGCAGGCCTAATGTGTCTGGGAATTTACAGATGTTTATATACAAATGCTAGAAGTGTCCAAGGTAACATGAGGGAGCTGGAATGCTTAGTGTCAGAGGAGAACATATTGTGGGCACTTCAGAAACTTGGTGAGAGGAGGATAATCAGTGGGATACAGTGATTCCTGGATATAAATGATCAGGGGTCTTGTTGTAGAAAAAGAGCTGCCGGAGCTCATTAGCATAACTCATTAGCATAACTTATTTGCATATGCCACGCCCCCTGACATCACCGGAAGTGTGTCAGAAGGCCCGGCTACTTACCCTCCTGCTTCATCCTCATTCCCAAACGGAATGAGGATCGAAGCAGAGGGCGGGGTAAAGAAGGGGGCGGGGCTTCACCACGTGACCGCCCCGCCCCCTAGAGGTTCTATTCCGGAGCTCCGTACCTGAGAGCTCCCCCCTGACTAGAGCCCTGTAAATGATACTGAAAGGATAAGGAAGGAAGGGTCGGAGGTGGAGTGGCTAGGTATGTCAGAGGGAGTATACAGTCCAGTAAAACCAAGAATCGCTTACAGAAATGATATGGGTGGAAATAGTGGGCCCAAAGGAAAGCTTAACTCTGGGACTTTGTTATCGCCCACCAGATGAAAGGTTAGAGGATGATTTTAAAACAGCAAAAGAACTGAAGGAAGCAGCTAGATGAAATAACTGTGTCATAATAGATGAATTTAAGTACCCACACATTGATTGGGTCAATATATATTCAAGTCAGGAGAAAGACATTGGGTTTCTAGATACTCTCAATGACTGTGCCAAGGAGCAGATGATAATAGAACCGACCTGGGGAAGGAGATCCTGGACTTGGTCCTAAATAATGTCAAGACCTGGTGAGAGATGTGAACTTGATAGCACCAGTTGGGAACAGTGACCCTAATGCTATTAAGTATAGTATTTATGCAAATAGGGAGTTGCCCAAAAAGCCCAACACAACCACTTTCAACTTTAGAAGGCGTAACTTCTCTCAAATGAGGAGGCTTGTGAAGAAGAAACTGAAAGTAAAGGTAAGGAGGATCAAATCCCTTCAGGAAGCTTGGATATTATTTCAAACTACAATCCTGGAAGCTCAGATACCTCAGGTTAGGGAGCACAGGCTTTGGCAAATAAAATGCAAGTCTATGATCAGGCATGCAAAAGGGGACAATGAGGAACATATTGCAAAAAAACATAAAGACCGACAATAAGAATTTCTTCAAATACATTAGAGTGGGCATCAACATGGCAAATGAGGTTCAACATGGGCAAGTAGAAAGCAATGCGCATTGGAGCCAAGAGTCCTAACCATAAATATACATTGACTAGAAATAATGCCCGTTGCGGAAATAAATACAACGGGATCTAGAAAGAGGCTCTTGGAGAGTGCTCTGGCTTTGGGCCAACAGTGTCAGTTTCCTGTGGCGACCTCAGCAGGGTTTAATGACAGAGTCCACTGTTTTCTCCAGAGGGACTGATCTCTGCTACCTGAAGAGCATTTGTATGTTTGAGTTATCTGTAGCCCTCACCTGGAGAGTGGTAACCATTGTTACCCATTCTCCTCTCCCCTATGAGGTGTGTTATGCAACTGAAAATTCCAACTGCCTTGCGGGGGGGGGGGAGTTTGAGGTGTGGAATGGACTGAAGTCCAATCAGCTTCCATATGCAAAAGACCAGGTTGTTGCAGCAGTTGTGGTGTGGGCGGGACCCGGGCTTTGCCTTCTGATTGGTGGCGATATATGCTGAGGAGCAGTGCCATCAGCCATACACTAAGGGAGTGCATTTTAGAATTAGAACTTTGGCACCCACTATTCAATTATATATAAGGAGAGATGGGGTCTGATCTGGCGGTAACTGATCAGGAGAGAGATCTTGAGGTCGTGGTAGATAACTGTCATGGGTCAGCCAGAGATAGCTAGAAGTGCTGCAGGGGGTGAGGAGACAACAGAAGCAGGCCCCAGCTTGCAATTGGCCATTGATGGCTGACCCCCCGAAGTTTCTGTCACTTGATCAACTGAGGAGCTGTCACCTGAAAGCAGTGGCCCAAGTCCAGGACTTGGGATCAGACAAGACCCCATGTGTTGCCTCCCCCTGTCCCCGGAGCTGCTGGAACACCGGTGGCAGAGGGCTCAGTATGATGATATGTTGTAAGCCACCCTGAGCCTGCTCATGGGGTAGGGTGGGATAAAAGCTCCCCAAATAAATGAAGAAGAAGAGGAGGAGGAGTTGGGAGGAGGAGGAGATTGGATCTATACCCCAGCTTTCATTCGGAATCTCAGAGTGGCTTACACACTCCTTTCCCTTCCCCTCCCCACAACAGACACCCTGTGAGGTAGGTGGGGCTGAGAGAGCTCTGAGAGAACTGGTCTTTCAAGAACAGCTGTGCCAGAATTATGGCTTGCCCAAGGTCATCCAGCCAGGTGCAAGTGGAGGAGTGGGGAATCAAACCCGGTTCTCCCTGATTAGAGTCCGTGCACTTAACCACTACGCCAAACTACTAAAAAAATAAATAAAAACTACTCAAGAGAAGGAAAAGCGCACACCTAGCAGCCCGGAAATACCAGGGGCTAACAAGCCAGGAAGATCGCCCACACACTAGCCAAATGCAACCTAGCTGTGAATCAAGCATAAATGGGGAAGCAGAAGATGGGTTAAGCATGGAAGCAACAAGTCAACATTCCTCTGATACTACGGCCACTGCATCGGATTCTGCCTTATTCCTTTGGACTCTTTGGACTCTTTGGACCGTTCCCTGACTTTGCCTTCCTCTCACCCCTGAACCTGCTCATGTGGATAACTCTTGGACTTCCAGACCCGGCTGTACAAACTGATCTTTGGACCAGACCCCTGAGGACCTTTCAACTCTGTGCATGACTTTGGCCCGGACCTGGACTATGCTGCCTGAGTTGGAGACCTTGCTCTTCTCACTTCAGGCTCTAACGGCTTGCCCTGCACTATTCCCGGCCCAGCTCCTGAGAATAACTCAATGAAGATATGGACTCAGTGTGCGACGGCAATAAAGAAGGCAAACGCTATGCAGGGGTTTATTAGGAAAGGGACTGAAAGCAAATCAGCCAGTGTCATAATGTCCCTGTATAAATCTATGGTTCGACCTCCTTTGGACTTAGAACAGATAAAAGGAAGTATTTCTTCACCCAAAGAGTAATTAACACCTGGAATTCATTGCCACAGGAAGTGGTGGTGGCTACAAACATAGACAGCTCCAAGAGGGGACTGGATAAACATATGGAGCAGAGGTCCATGAATGTCTATTAGCCATACCTTATAGATGGAACACTATGTCTGGGCAGTGATGCTCTCTATTCTTGGTGCTTGGGGGGGCAACAGTGGGAGGGCATCTGTAGTTCTGGCCCCACTGGTAGACCTTCTGATAGCACTTGGGTTTTGGCCACTGTGAGATACAGAGTGTTGGACTGGATGGGCCATTGGCCTGATCCAACATGGTTTCTCTTATGTTCTTATGGTGGAAGGATCCTGTCTTTGTTGCCCAAAGAAGTGATATGTCTGGTAGTAGTAAGGATGAGGCTCAACAGGCCTATAGCATAACTAGTTTATTCTCTCAAAAACAACCAGCAACAGAGAACAGGATCTCCACGCACTCCAGTCACTCCCCCAAAACTATAATGGCTGAAGAGGTCCAAACAGCCCCAATTAAAAGGCACAATACCCTCCGGACATGCAGAGCAGGGGGAAGCAACAAAGAGAGACTTCATGGGAAAAGTACATTGACACAACTGGTCTCAATAGGATCACAACATGAAAAAGGCTTAATTATAGATGATTGTTTGCATGGTACTTGATGTGCACTAAATTACCTTCAGACTGAAACAGTTTGGAAAGTGTCTTCATAACTCACCGGATGCTCATGATCCAAATCGGGGTCATATTTAGAGATCAGGTGATGGCAGTTGTCAAGGTCCCGTATCTTTTTTGGAAACCACAAGGCTGTTGGAGAATAGACTGTAAGTACATGGCACATGCATGTTCAGTGAGGACCGCACAGAAGAAGGAGCTGTTGCTGATCTAGAATCATAGAATCACAGAGTTGGAAGGGGCCATACAGGCCACCTAGAACAACCCCCTGCTCAGTGCAGGATCAGCCTAGAGCATCCCTGACAAGTGTATAGAATCATTTGGATGGCCTCAAGGGTTAGACCATTCACACAAAGACCTGTCAAATACAGTACACAGCTGTTCTTTCAAGCCTAGTCAATAATTTCTCACTTTGGTATAAGGGGTCATCAGCATCCATCCATCCATCACATGTTCAGGTTATTCATGAAAATAAATCTAAGAGTTATGTTATCAGCATATAGTAGAACTTCAAACAACAAATGAACCACAGAGGCAAGCAGTCAGTGCCTGCAAACCACAGTTCCATATGCACTACACAGAGAACATTATATTTATGAGTTAGGATGATGGAACTGATGAAAACAATAGTCCCAGCACAACCCTCCTGATAGATAAATCATATTTTAACCCAGTAACCCATCATATTGTCTATAAAAATATGCAGTTCAGCTGGACTGAGCTGGCAATTTCTGGGCTGGATTATAATGTTGTTTTCTGGATTGCCGCTGCTGGTCTTGATACAGAGAGTTGTATGAGCAGCAAAGGCTGCCTGCACACTGGTTTGGCTGCTGAGATGTGCATAAAGGGTATCTGTGTGGGTTATCTGGGGTTACTCAAGAATTACACCATTGCTGGATGTGTGTCTATACACCTATACAGCAAGACGGTTCAGAAGCCTCTTTCTGTTTACTAATTACACACACTGGGCCTGGCTGGTTTTAGTACACTGGTGTCCAGTCTAGAGAATGTGTGCCACAAATGACACAGGCTGTGTGAGTCTGAGGCGCAAATGGAGGGCCTGCATTGGTCTTCAGAACAGGGCCTTCTTGACAGTGGCGCTGAAATTATGGAACTCATTTCCTAGCCAAGTTCACTCTTCCCCAACTCTGTTGTCCTGCAAATGCCTGGCAAAAGCTCTTTTATTCCAGAGAGTACTTGGCCTCAAAGAGTCCTTTTGGCAGTGGCAGGAAGTCCAGTTCCCTACTCAAGCCACACATGATGTGACTGCTGAGGGTGGCACAGTGATCCATTCGAGGGGCTTGCTAGGTCCTGGCTTTGGTAGCACAGGAAGAAATGGGGGCAGGGGCAATGTCAGCATACCCTAAGGTGGGGCAGCTGCCAGGCCCCAGGACTTCTGGTGGGGCCCACGGCTGCTGACTAAGGCACCTCCCCTGCCACCTCTGTGCCTGTGCTCCCACCTGCCCAGAGTCCTTAAGGAAGGACGTGTGGTGGTGCAAAGCGTTGGCACTCCTGGTGGCCATGGCAGCAGCACTCCCAGCTGCATCCACTAGCTGGTGCTGTCAGGGGATGGGAGTGCAGGAGGTAAAGGCAACTGAGCATAGGCACTGGAAGGGCTTGCAAGTGGGAGAAGGACACACAGGCAGGGTGGAAACGAAGCCATGAGGGGGCCCTTGGGGCAGGCAGATGGGGGTGGTGGGCACTGTCTGCCCAGGGCCTTCCAAAACCTGGAACTGGCCCTGGAATGGGGACATCTGCCACCCAGTGTTCCCTCTAAGCTGAGTTAGTGTGAGCGCGCTCACAGTTTTTTAGCCTCCGGCTTGCACATTTTTGTCTCCACTCAGGAAGGATGGCTCCAGAGCAAAATGCAGTAGCTAAATGGCTCGCTTTAATGCCAGTAGCTCACAAAGTAGAATTTTTGCTCGCAAGACACCACAGCTTCGAGGGGGCATTGCTGCCACCACTGTCTAGGTTCAGGTCAGGCTCCTGTGGCCATGCTACAGTGGCTCAGCTTGGATCTGGCCAGCAGCAGCACAGGAGAAAGCAATGAGTGCACCTTGCCTGGGGGAGCAAATATCTTCAACTGGCCCCCCGGGCAGTGGTCTGCTGCTAACTGGGTTCTGATGGTACAGCTCTTCTTCTTTTTTGTACCTTGTGTTTTGTTGCTATCTTAATTTTTTTTTAAATTCATTGTGAGATGCTTTGTAAGACACAATTCAAATATTTCTTGAAATAAATGTCAGCCCTGCACACCTGCCTGCCTCTTTATGGCTGCACTGATGCGTGTTCCCAGGTTGGTAGACTAAAAGCAAGACCATAGCAAGAGGCAGGCATAGGCAGCACTGTGTGCACCGGAGCAACTCGCCCATTCTTTGAACTTGATTTTTTTTTGGGGGGGGGCATTCCAAAATCTGCCTTTCATTCGACTCATCTGAATATTTATTTCCAAGTGAATATTCTAATTCGGAGTTGATCTTAGCGTTTAGCGTGTAATATGGAAGAATGGGAATGTAAATCTTCAAAGGTCTTTTAAAAAGCCAATTTCATCCACTGGGGAAAACAGACATTTCACTTATTACATACCTCTTTCTTCTCTGTGGGTTTTCACGTTCTCTGCCACCCTCTTTAAGGAATTCACAAGGCTGCTGACGTCAGAGCTCAGAACTTCACATTTCACAAAGAAATCAAGGTCATCATCAGCCAGATGCTTGGGTGTTTTAGCTGCTCTGCTTTCAAGGTGATGGATTTTAGCTTCAAACTTCTGTAAAATACAAACATGTATATTTGTATTTTTTAAAAGACATGTAAAGATTCTCTCTCATATACACACACATACACATAACTTTTCCGACTCTTTTGTTCACAGCACGGCACAATGACAAGAAGCAAAATGAAAAACACTAAAATAGCAATGCAACAATCTGGAATAAGCAGTCTAGAGCCCGATCTCCCCCTCCCCAACTAAGGGACCCAGCCAGATTCTCAGAGCAATATATATGGCTCATATGGAAGATGCCAAATGTTACAAACAGAGAAATAATGTTATGATCATTTCCACATCAGCACAATCCAGCACAGTGTCCTGATGCTTAAGTGATAGAATATCCACTTTTGAAGCAATCTTTCTTTAAACCCTGAGAAAGCTTTGAAGCTTTGAAGTGAAATGTGGAGATATTAGGCTTGCTCACATGTTGGGAAAGAGGAAAGAGAACCAGGAAAAGCTACAAACATTAGTGTCGGACTATTTTGTGGATGTATATACGGAATTGTGTTTCTGAAAGAGTCATTGTTTTGGAGGAGTAGCACTCACCTGCAGAAAAAACCAAACAGGGTTTGCTCACTACTCCAGAGTCACTATCCTCTGTTCAAGTGTACACTATTACAGTTTGTAATACTCAGTATACAGTCTCTTGTTTACATAATTTGTAAGTGGATTACTTAGATATATAAGAAAACTATATAACGGATGGTATTTTTATTACGTTGATATTTGTTTCACAGTTTTGGTTGTTGTTATGTGCAGAAATCAGCAGGTTTTTAACTGATTACACACAGTACAAAACTCATAACTCACAAAATCGTCCAGTCAGAGATTTAAAAGAATCTCTATCAATATTCAGACCCCAAATGTCTTATAATACTATTTACTAGGACCTGCTTACACAACACAAAACAGCCTAGGGTCCTAATCAAAAGTGTTACATGACTTTTCTTTTCAAGCCTACCTTTGGACCAATGAAACTACCTGCAACCTATACCAATATCATAACACACTTTCATAACATTAAAAAGTAGATGCCCAGTTTGTTGGAAAGATCCATGTTACTGTTAAAAATAAAGTTGATGAAACTTCAAGAGGATGTGCTGAGAAGCTGAGCAAGATAAGTGTTCATAGGAGACACTTTTGCAAATCTGAAGACACTCTCCAAATAAACAAAGCATCATGTTTATTATGGAGGGGGGGACGTGTTATAAGGAGTACCACAGATGTAGCAAAGAAGCTGTCTGAGAAACAGGACATCCCACATTGGGAAGATGGGTTCTTCTGTAATCAAGTCCCCCCCCCCCGGCTTTGACCTAATGGGTTCTTCTGCACTCTGAACGACAGCAATAATGTCCAAGCAATGGACTGGGACTCACACCTGACACGTTGCTACTTCAGTAATGAAGACCCCTGTCCACCTGGCCTCAGCAGGCCGAGCGAGTCTCTGAGCAAAGAGCAGAATGGATGCCACAAAGGAAGTGAGCATTGTCATGACATGTGGGGATCCCTGTCATCACCCAGGTCTTGGGCACTTGGTACTTCCCAAAGGGCTCCCGGAGGGAAGAGCAGAATCGCAGTTCCTCCGAGTTCTCCGTTCAGCCTACAGAGTCGATGGCCCAGCCAAGTTTGCTACCGCGACAGGGGTGGAAGGCTCTGCCCTCCGGCGGGCGGGCGGGCATCGGATCGTACCTCGAACACTCTGGCCGCCCGGGAGGTGCCGCTCTGCGGACAGCGAACGTCAGGCTCAGCGGGACCCTCTCCTCCTCCTCCTCCTCCTCCTCTTCTCCTCCCCGGGAAGGAGGATCCCGCGCCTTGTTCGACGTCTCCATCGCCAGCGGCTCCTCCGCTCTCTTTCTGCTCGCTGCGACTCGTCCCTGGTCGTCCCGTCCCGGCAACGGGGGCAGGCAGAGGCCCCACCTGGCTGGACCCTTCAGACTTCACCCTCCCTGCGGATCGGAGCTCTCAGGCTCCAGGCTGGGGGGAGGGAGACCGACAGTGGGGCGGGGCGGAGGCCTCTGGGGGCTCTCCGCGCCTGGAGGAAAGAGCGCCCCCTCCCCTCCCCTCCCCCCCGTGCGCAGCAGAGCGCGAGACAAGCGAGCCCCGGTCTCTTGCCAGTGGCATCCCGCGCCGTCCTGGCGCCCAGAGCCCAGACACGCGGCTTGACCGACTCCTCGGAAGAAGAAGAAGAAGGCGGACGCATCAGGAACTCGCAGTTTTAAAAATCACATCCCAAACCCGCAGGCCCCATTCCGATCAGGACCGGAAAGCTGGGGAGAAGAAGCCCCAGCTAAAAAAAGGATCCCCGGAAGTTGCTTTATGCCCCGTGGAAAAAACTGACTTACCTCCACCCATTCCAATAAAATATTTCCCAGCACGCTCGGAGAGCAGGGTCCCGGCGGGGCGCGGGCACGAGGAATGGCGCCTCACCAGGGGGTCGGTTGGAGTCTTCCAGGCCGACTCTCCCATCTGTTTATTGGTTTGCCCAGTTTAAGGCAATTTCAATAACTGTGCAGCGGTTACCTTAAACGTTCCTCCACCTTCCTGTTGAAGCATCTGATGGAGGATAGTGGATGTCTCGAAGTCAACAGGACAATTTCTGGAACTCGTTTATTTGAGAATAAACGTCCGGGGGGGGGGGGGATTGCAAGCTGGCTATAATAAAACAAATCGTGTTCGGTATAACTGGATTCGGCTAGAGTGGCAATCTTTTCACACACACAAAAAAAAGGATAGCGCGATCAATTGAATTAGAAGCTTTCTACTGTTTGCATTGTCTACAGTGTGTCAGGTCTTATCCTGCTTTTTGATCACGTAGTTTTCTAATTATGTAACCCTGGTCCTATTGCAATGGGTATTGGATGTCTTGTGCATTGTTTTCTGCTTTGTGATTCGCCTTGAGTCTCGGCGAGAAAGGCGGGCTATAAATAAACGAACAAACAGATACAATTAATGTCCTCTGTAGCCTCTTGGCCATTTCTGCTTTGCATCCTGATATTAAACCTATCGAAGCGAGCCGGGGGGTGTATGAGGATGGTGTAATGGTGCAATTGTCTAGCTGGAATCTTGCTTATCCTACAGATTGGTCTCGGGCAAGCCGCTCTCGAGCCACAGCTCTCTTCTCCTGGTCCCAAATATGAGAATAATCACAGTAACTTTGCAGGGGTGTTGTAAGGACTCCAGCACTTTGACCACTTGAAATGTTTGTTATTGGGCGGAAGAAGCACGCCTATGTAAACTGTTTGTCCCTCCAAATATGCCTGGATTTTAGATTTTTTAAAAACTAAAGCAATCTAACACAAAAATGTTCCTTTGCACGAACTTTTGTGCGAAGATCTGGCCCGCCCGCCTTTTGTTTAGAAACAAAACAAAACTAACCCACCATGCATTTGGGCGATAGGATGTGGTTTTTGCAAAGAACTCGGCTGGATCTTGGCCCTAAGTAAAATTTTGTTTCAAACGCATGCTTTGTTTCAAACGCAAGGCGATTAGAGGATCCACCCATTTCCCCCGCCCTTTTGGTTCCATCACTTTTGGTTACCTATATTGGTTACATTCCTCTGAAACACACCGACGATGCAGCCCTAAGAACACTTTCCTGAGAGTAAGCCTCGTTTAATAAAATCGGTGTCACTTCTGAATATGCCTCCTCCACCAGGGGGATTGATGGCCGAGTAATTTCTGCCTGTGCCCTTTCATTTGGGAAAGGAAAGCATGATCGCGCGAACACGACCTCAAATCTCCTGATAGGTGGGAACAAAATGGAGTTCCATTTGTAAAGGAAGGACGCTTTAAAACTGCCAGGCACAAGAACAACGTTCAGAACAAAAACATAATAATGACTAAACCATAAGGAGCAAACGGCTTCTAAGGCTGTCCCTTCATTACAAAAACAAAACAAAAAGCACCGACCATGATTACAGGGTCCAGCAAGAGCCGCCCTCCAAAGGTCAGTATTAGCAAGCATTTCCCAATTTGTCTGTTGTGGTTAGCACCAGGTTGTTGACATTTCCCAGTTTGTCCAGGTTACATTTATGAGCTACATTTAGTAGTAGTCTGCTAAAATGCTATCTATCTATCTATCATCTATCTATCTATCATCTATCTATCTATCTATCTATCTATCTATCTATCTATCTATCTATCTATCTATCTATCATCTATCTATCTATCTATCTATCTAATCTATCTAGCTATCTATCTATCATCTATCTATCTATCTATCATCTATCTATCTATCTATCTATCTATCTATCTATCTATCTATCTATCTATCTATCATCTATCTATCATCTATCTTCTTCATCATCATCATTATCATCAACATCATCTCTCTTCCTCTCATCATCATTTATGTAAGGTGAACACAAGTAAATATAAGGAATTTTTGGTCCACACTGTTGGACTTACTAGGACTTACCACGTCTTACAGTGCTATCGTAAAGAAACTAATGGGACCAAAATGTCTTATACCTGCATAACCTGTCCTGTAACAGTAAAAGGCGGGAGGGATTTAATGTTTAGCACGCGCTTTTCCCATGGGCTGTAGAAGTGGGAGGTCAAAGAGCCCATTGTTATTCCTCTCATTCCCTGGGGTGGACGCGCAGTCTACAATACATTTCTGCTGACAAAGAACCAGGATCGTCATCTCGAGAGTCCAACGTGGTACATGAGACTTCATCCCGTTTCCCTCTCTGTCCCTCTGTGCGGCTGCTATCCGAAGTGCTGAAACCCCGTCTTCTCCTTGTCACCATTCCGGATTCCATATCAGGGTCAAATTGATAGATATTCCCGCGGGATGTTTTGCTTGGGCCATTACGATTGTTGTGTAACTTGTTCGACCAATTCCCCGCGGAAGGAGATCTAACTCCTAGAGTTTTCCTTGAGGGAAACATTCTAGATAAGTAGAAATATTTGTTTATTGAGACATCTTTTAACTATCAAGAAAGACTGAGAAAGGGGCTTTGTACATCCCCCCCCAGTTTAATAACACATTAAGTTTAACTGTCTTGTGCTTTTGAAACTGCTGTCACTTTCCATAAATCATAAGAACGGTGAAACACATTGATAAAAGGAACCAATCTGGAATAACGGGCAGGGGCTGGGTCACTCAACACACGGCTCAATGGAATTACAAGGCAAGTAGTCAGTCAGCAGTTTTCTGCAAGTCCCTTTGAGCTTGAATACAAGAGAAATCAAGGTTTGAATTTTTTAAAAGTACTTGAACCGAACACAACATTTGCTCGTCACAGAGGAAAACCAGGAATTGTGAGGAGAACCGCGGGTTTATCTAGAAAAATAGGCAGACAGCAGTGTGTGAGAGAGCATAATACATTATTTCTAAAAGTGTCTCTAAATTATCGCTTCCTTCTTGGTATGATGACAAAGGACTGCAACAGACGGACGAATAGATCGTTAGGTGATGCGCACAATTCTATACCGGAAGTTTAAAGCCGGGATCAGGCAGGCGGCAATTTCAGCCGGAGGGAAGCGGTTCCCGCTCCAGTTCCAGAACAATGAGTGAAACTGACATAATGAAATCTACACGCATCTAGTAGGTCGAAAGGACCGAGAAGGATGGTAATAGATCCAGCGTCTTTTAAGTTCGATACCCACAAAAAACAATTTAAAATAAAAAGCTCTTGAGGCGTGATGCTGGAACCGAGTTGCCTGCCACAGATTGTGAATTTCCCACAGGTGGTCAGTTCCAGGAGGGAGATATACAGCAAAAGCAAAGCCACATCTGCTCCACCGTTCCAGTTATTCGGTCCCCCGGTACTCCATCTATACATCAGTCTCAGTTCATATGCCCTGCACATACCTCCAAACCAAAGCTCTACAACAGAAGGCTATATTATCTGCTGTTTTCGGATGGCTCCACTTTCACTGGATGCTCTAATTAAGAACGCCTTCCTCTCTGAATTTGTTCCTGGCTCTTTCTATCACATTGCCTATTGTGGGCACGATTTTAAATGAGTTAAACATCCTTATGACCCCATTGATTTAAGTGTATGTTCACATCTCTTCCCTGGAAATTAATGGGGGGAAAAACTTAAATTGGGATGGATTGTACCCTCCTAGTACACCCCAAAATGGAAACGGAAATAATGAAAATGACTCAGAAAGTATAGAATATTGAAACAGGTTACTAATAGCCTGCATCTAGAAATTGACTGAATTTAATCTAGAAAATGTCCCATCAGATTTAATGGTTCATTTCTGAAGGGGTATGTTTTGGAAGGATTGTGCCAGTTTGGTGTAGTGGTTAAGTGTGTGGACTCTAATCTGGGAGAACCAGTCCAGGTTTGATTCCCCACTCTTCCACTTGCACCTGGCTGGACGACCTTGGGCAAGCCATAGTTCTGGCACAGCTGTTCTTGAAAAAGAGCAGTTTCTGTCAGAGTTCCCTCAGCTCCACCTACCTCACAGGGTGTCTGTTGTGGGGACGGGAAGGGAAAGGAGTTTGTAAGCCGCTCTGAGACTCCTTTGGGTAGTGAAGGGTGGGGTATAAATCCAATCTCTTCTTCTTCTCCATTTGCACCCCCAGATCATTCGGCCTCCAGATGCCTCAGATGCAGGGAAGTGCATCTGTTTGATATTAAAGCAGGGTCTTTCAATCAAAGGCAGGAATCCCTCTAGGTTCTTTCAAGAGGGAGGAGGCAACTGCCTGAATAATCCAAGATAACACAGATAAAATCCATTTTTTGAATCAGTGTTTGCTATAAACACTGACCCAGGTTTTCAGGACAATAACCAAAGCACTGGAAAGCTACTTTACAGTGTATCTCCCAGATGATTCAATGATAAACCTAGGAAGGGCCATCAACCGGTC